CTTTGCTTTTACCCCCCCTCAAGATTTGCCGCATGTCTCCGCACGGAAGCGGACGATAACATCCATGATACCGTTCGCTAGGACCAAAAACGGAGAGATTTTCATGGATCCCTACAAACTCCAAGGTGACCCCACGCCGACAGTCCGAGATGCTGGCAGTCGCCGCAGCCTCCCATTGGCCATCCACAACAGGACCTATGCCAGGCTAAAGAAGTGTTACACGTCATGCTGGCGCGGTTCAAGGCGGCTTCCATCTAACAGTCGGGCAGTTGATCCGATGATTGATAGCTCTCTAGTGTTAGCCCGAGTGCGCGCATCTTGCTGCCATTTCTGTAGCTCGTAGATCTCACATGCTAGGCACATCCTCAAGCACGTGTATCGCTATATTTACCTTTCATCGTACCTTTACCCTTTATCTAGCCAAAAATACTGGCATAAAGTCAACTCATCTCGGTGATGGAGAAGAGAGGCCAATATTCATTCACTCTCGTGGCGGTCAAGCGGCCTTGGCAGCCGAATCCTGAGAGAAAAAAAGACTCGTCATCCTACTAATCTGTGTTGGTCACTTAGATGCAGTAGTCGCTTCGCAATGACTTAATTGGGAAGCATTTTAGTAAGACAGGCTCTCCTTGGGTCCTGTCTTATTCATCCCCGCCAGTTATGTACTGTAATAGCTATTTGTACCTTTCCCAGCTTCCAAGTAGTCTCCAGCTCTGTGCAACCCGATCAATGGTATCCAACGCCCCCTTTACTCTCCCGTCTGGGTCATCGTATTTGCTGCCCTCGAATTCAATGAAGAAGATGTACTGGAAGGGGGCCAACAGGCTAGGCCTGCTGTTGATGCTCGTGAGGTTTAGGTTGTAAGCCTTGAAGCCGCTCAAGACCTCGGCCAGGGCACCTGGGGATGTGTGCGGCACAGTGAAAGATACCAGGGTCCTCGTAGTAGCCTCTCCAACGGATTGTTTCACTAGGTTCCAGTCCTTGGGGACGGTCGTGTTCTTCCCGATAATGAGGAAACGGGTGGTGTTGTCGTCACGGTCCTCGATGGACCTGGCAAGCATATCCAAACCGTGCATGAGGTTGGCAGCAAGCTCACTAGAAATGGCCGCCCAGGTGCCGGTTGTGTCCTGGCTCACAATTTCAGCGGCCTTGCTTGTCGAGCTGACATCGAAAATCTCAACGCCCTTGAGGTATGTCGAGATGAAGGCGTTGCACTGGCCAAACGCCTGAGGGTGAGAATAGAGTCTCTTGATGTGTCTCAGATTCGCGAGGGGTTTTGACTTTGGTTTCGACGGGCGCGGATCGTTGAGAGTAGGAGTGCATGTTCCCGATCCGTCTCCGTGGTCGTCCAGCTCCAGCAAGGGGGATGGATTTCGGTGTCCCACCAGGCAGTGATGTACGTTGACAAAGATTTCGCCGTCGACAGTAATGTCTTTGTACCGGCCATTGCGGTCGGCGAGATTATCGAGGGTGAAGACGACAGAGCCATTTGTAGAATTCTCAATGGGAACCACGCCGGCCTTCACTTCTCCGAATTGAACCTGGTCAAAGACGTCTAAGGCGGCACATATTGTTAGAGAGCACAGAGCGTCGTCTGCCTTTGGCTTGATTGCATACCATCTATCGTTGCCGCAGGCCTCAGCTCCCACGATGACTCTGGGAACACCTGGCGTACCGCCTACGTGGTGAGCTCTGGTTAGCACTCTCCTTTTTATATGGTGCGTCATGAGAGGGTTACCTGATGCGAATATGATGCAATTGGGCCCAGAAAGCTGACAACGGGCTTCTCAAGTGAAGCCATGGCGAAATTACAGAGCTAGCAGGCTATGTGGGAGCAATGAGGGGGTATTTAATTGATCCTCGGCAATGAGGAATCTGAGTGCTGCTGTCCGGGGAGCTGCGGCATGTAACCGCGAGGAAGCTTCAGTTCAAATGACTTGGGCACGAGTGCCGAATATCGGATTTACGGCTACCAATGAAAGTGGATCTGGCAGTTGCTGATCCCAGAGGTATCAGGGATTCTCGAGCTTGCTTACGTCGCTATCCAGGATACTAACGATACAGTGAAAAATGAGATGAAGGCGCAAGAAAGCTGATTGAGAGCTGTCCAAAGCTCTTTTGTGGTGCCTGACATAAGGATGACTGCGACATCTGGAAACCGGTTTCTAAGCCAGTGTCGCGCTCTAACGGGTATACGTAGATTTTGTATGCAAGTATGTTAGTGCGCAACTTTGGTTTATCGCGGGGTCCAAAAGACGCCATCTACGAGCTGTGATATCGCGGAAAGCTTGGAAGAAGCTCTCGACGAGCTTACGAGGCAAGCTTTGCGTAGCTTACAGAGTATTATATAAGATTTTACAGGTCGAAATTTGAGCCAAACAGCGTTACTAGATGGATGTGGTATGATCGGTAAGGATTTTTTTATGCGATCTTGATGAGTAAGAAGAGGTGTAGAATTTACTAGCACCTAATAATGGATAGTATTTCGTGCTGTCTCACTTTGAGACACACAGGGCATCTATTAATAGTCCAAATGCAGATCAATATCACATCCATGTTTGATTTCGCTTGACCCAATAACATGGCGATGTGATGAATAGAGTGATACACATCACGAGGGCGCAAAGTGAGGGTGTCCGCCGTTTGGGGTTGATTGCGGCGATGCCACTTGTTTGTATGCCAGCTCTCAGGCATCCCGGCAGGGATTGATTGATTCGCGTCGGCCCGGTCAAGAGCCGCTGCGTGATTGGTGCAGTGTTTCAAGCGCCGGGCTGTCACCATGTGAAACATTGTGCGGACGAATTGCAGTTGAGGGCATCGTGTCGTATGCGCAGGATGCTGGACATGCTGACTTGAGCTCGACTGGATTGGCGCTCTTTGAGAGTGGAAACATGCATTATTATCGCGCACGGTCTTTTTGATGCCGCCATCATACTCGTACTGGAGGTATTAGGTTGCATGGGTGTGAGCACATGGAATTGAAACCACACTCAAGAGGCTGCATTTGCCTCGTCAAGTGTGCGTCTGCACATGCACTGCCAGCGAACAAAGCAGGCTGCAGCGTTGATTTGCTGCATTGGATCAGCGGCCGAACCCCCGGCGTTCTAGAAGCATGAGGCCACTACGAGGATGCCAGCAAGCGATCAGCAGCCCGTGCGATTCGATCATCGTCAGATGGATGGATGCGAGTCGCCGTCAGGCTCCGGTAAGCGTGCAGTTCACGAGTCGAGTTCAGGTAAGAGGACCTCGTTACAGGGCACAGGGAGTTGCTAGCGTGTGATGGAATCGGAAAATCGCCTGCTGGGGCCCAAACAGTCGTCATCGGCCCAGGGTTTTCCTGACGCCGTCGTCCCTGTGAGTGGTGAGTGAGCAGACCGCCTTATCAGCTCGCTCATAGCGAAACGAAGCAAGGCCACGGACCACACGATGGACGAGCCACCAAAATGCGGTGGGTGCGAGATGAAACTTCGAAACGCCGCTGGTTTCACGTTTCGCAGATGGCGGACCAATGGCGCGCGCCGTTGCTCACAGGGGTCGACCAGCCAAGGCGCGAGGCCCACATGGAACCCTGGAAATGGCTCGCAGGAGAGGGAAGAGTGAAGAAAAGATGGAGGATGATGAGAGGTTCATTCCACCGGACAAAAATAGAAGATGCTTTAATTATGATCTTACTACCTTATCGACATACTGTACTTTTACAGGCTGGCATGGGCCTATTATAGGTACTGTAGAGTATATCTGTAAATACGGAAGCACCGCGATGGGTGATATTAGTAGAAACGAAGCTCGGCTGCGAATCTCACTCGACACCGGGGCTGATCCATTTCCAGTAGGCCAAAGCGGATACGATATTGCTGCTTGTATGCTTCCAGCCAGCTGTGCGAGCAACAATTTGATGTATTTGTATTTGTACTCGTACTGTGTCCAGAAATTGACAACTCCATTGGCGATGCTACCTGTGAAGGAGACATGTATGTATACATCCGTCCATGGGGCCTGTCGTGAGCGTTGATCTCCTCGGCAGGAAACCGGATGCGGTACGGAGTACTCATACAAGCAACCTGCAATCTACCTAGATATTATTAGAAGCTCGATTTGCGTCAGAATCAGGCTGCTCGTCACCTCAGCGCCGGCATTAAGGACGACGGCCTGCGGCCCGGTTTGTCCATTGTTTTGTTTGAGTCCCCTACTCAATATATGCCATGAATGGTGAGGTACACGCCGCAGCGCCGGAAGCTACTGCTTAGCGCCAGGCCCAGGCACAGAATCAATGCCGGAGACGTTTTCAGCAAATCGTGCCTCGTGCGTGCCGGGACTGGCGCTCCTTTCATCAGAAGTCGTCAACAAGTTCCATGGACTGGAGCCCATCAATCTCAGCTTGTCGTCGCAGCTGTGTCGCAGGTTGCAGGTACGAGTACTTTGCACTGCCGGCCCTGCGCTTCTTCAGCACACCTTTTTAGCGCATCTCTGCTGATTTCCACGAGGTTACAGGGGGGGGGGGGGGGGGGGGGGGTCCCGCCGTGGCCAATCGCCACCAATCGCCACCAATCGCCCATCTGCCTACTGACATACCCTAGGAGGAGAAGCGCCCCCGCCTGGCCGCTATTTTCTCGTCTGGGCTCAATTCGTTCCCGTTTGGCTTTGATTCTTTTAACCTCCAGCTTGCTCCCCTTTTTCCCTTGTCGACGCCGTCGATCGACTTCAGCCGGGAGCCTGTGTCGTGACGACGCCGCAACCACGGACGAGGTGGCCTGCAGTTCTGGGTTCTGATTCGACGGTGGAAGAAAAAAAAAGAAGAGCAAAATCGAGACTGGCTACGGGCGAAGACGCATCGCAACATCGAGTCGACGGCTACAAAGACGTTCAACAACTGCAAACGCCGCGGGTCGCGTTTACAATCGGAGCGCAGCATAATATCTCTCTCGTCGAAACTAATCCTGGAATACCAAAACCTCTGAGCAAATTCATCAACAAACAAGTCACAGGAAACAAGAGGCAAAATGGCGATGCTCGCTAAATCCACGTATCCGGCCACTCTAGGAGGCACCACCATGGTCGCTTCCGATTACTCCTCCGGCCTACCAACATCGAGGAGAATACCGGCCATGGCTGGCAACTCGCACGGCTTCTCGAGCCCGACAGAGTCAGAATTCTCTGATTCAGACGGCCCAGATTCCGTCAAGAACTGGGACGAGGACAGAGTGTGCGACTATCTCGCCAGCGTAAAGTGTGGGGAATACGAAAAGCTGTTCCGCAAGAACCACATCAATGGCGAAAACCTGCTGGAGATGGACAAAGAAGTGCTCAAAGAAATGGGAATCGACAAGGTTGGCGACCGCGTGCGCCTCTTCCTCAGCATAAAGAAACTGCGAACAAAGGCTTATGCCAATCAAAAGAAGAGGAATAGGGTGAGTTTTCCCCGGCATACCTATTATTCGGGCGGAGCAGAGGGGACAAATACTGACGGTTTCCCCCCTTAGGATTCATTTGCTGGACTGGATATCCTTCCTATTCAGAGCCATGGCTCTGCCATGGCCTCCAACGCACGATCCGCACCTCTCAACAAGCGCTACTCGAGGCAGGTCGACATGTCTGGCGCTGGCGCCTCCGACCACGGAAGACCTAATTCAAGACCTACTTCTCCCCAGCCAATACCGGAAGTGCGAACACGACAGCAGTCGCAGCCACAGCAGCAGCAATATCCTACCGGTAGAGGCTATGTAGCCCACGGGAGCCAGAACCCGACGTCTAATACCTCAGGTGGCCGCCTAATTCCTACTCACACGCGGAATAATTCTAGCCTGGATGGCTCCCTCATGGCCACTCTGCCTCAAGGTCAACACATTATCCGCGTCATCTCCACCGGCGGCGTTACAAAGGTTGTCAAGATTGCTGAATGCAACACCTGTGAGGATGTCATGCGCGTTACCCTGCGCAAATTCGGTCTTCGCGAAGATCATGAGCGAAACTACTGTTTCTGGGTCCTGACCGGCATAGATGCTGATCCCAGTCAATGCCGCCGCCTGGGCGATACGGAGCTGTGGCGCATCATCAAAGACCAGCGGAGACCGGAGCGGAACCGCTTGATTCTCAGAAGGGTGCCGGCTGGAGAGCCCGGCGAGGCAGAACTGCAGCGCGCTGCCGCCATTGCCATGGAAGAAGAGCAGCAGAAACACGCCCGAGCGCTAGAAAGCGTTGATAAAAGGAGTCAGATCAAGGTACAGAAAGTATTGGGCGAGAGTTGGAACGAGAAGCTTCAAAACCCCATGTCGCCCGCCTCCTTTGCAGCCCGAGAGCGAAACACGGCAAATGCGTACAGAGAGCTGGACCGACCTTCTTCGCCTGATCGCAACCCGCTAAGAAAGGTAGGACTCCGTCAATTTGGAGGACTCCGGCCGCCGAGCGAACTTATCGCATCGGATCTGACATCGTACTTCCCCGACCACGCCCGCGAGGATATCGACCGGACCGCCAGGCTTTCCATGAGGAGATCAACCCGCTTGAGCAAAATCAATAGCCGACTTAGCGTGGCGAGCAATTTGAGTTTTGCTTCGAGCATCCAGGATGCCCCTCCCATCCCTACCATTGCCGACTCTTGGCTGGGTGGAAGCGCCCATGTAGCCAAACTTCGTCTCCAGGGGCGAGCCCCAACTATATATAGCAGAGATTCGATCGCCTCATCGATGCTTGGAACCCTGCAGGAGGAGGTGTCATCACCCACGGAGCCAAACCGCAAGTCATACGTCTCGTTTTCGGATGCGAGCGACACCACTGGGCTCAGCGTCACCGATCCCGAAGGCAACACGACGAGCACAAGCTACTATGATGCGGATGGATCTACTGGTTCCGGCTCCTTCCAAGAGGTTCAGCAGGCCCTCAACGAGGATGAGGATGAGGCTGACGAAGAGCTGGAGAGCTTCTTGGCGGGAGACTCGTGGGACGATAACAAATGGATGAAGGGAGCCCTGATTGGACAGGGATCCTTTGGCAGCGTGTACCTCGCGCTGCACGCAGTGACTGGAGAGCTCCTGGCCGTGAAGCAAGTTGAGATGCCAGCGCCTGGTGCAAATAGCCAAAACGACAGCCGAAAGAAGAGCATGATTGATGCCCTGAAGCGCGAGATCAGCCTCCTCCGAGAGCTGCGCCATCCCAACATTGTGCAATACTTGGGCTGCAGCTCTTCTGCCGAGCATCTCAACATTTTCCTCGAGTACGTTCCTGGTGGCTCGGTGCAGACCATGCTCAATTCGTATGGCGCCCTCCCGGAACCCCTGGTGCGCAGCTTTGTGAGGCAGATTTTGACAGGCCTGTCGTACCTACACAACATGGACATTATTCATCGAGACATCAAGGGTGCCAACATCCTGGTCGACAACAAGGGTACAATCAAGATTTCTGACTTTGGCATTTCCAAGAAGCTGGAGGCGTCCAACATCCTTAACGGAGCGGCGAACAACAAGCACCGACCGTCGCTTCAGGGATCAGTGTTCTGGATGGCCCCCGAGGTTGTCAAGCAAACTTCTTACACGCGCAAGGCTGACATTTGGTCTCTGGGATGTCTGGTGGTGGAGATGATGACGGGTTCGCACCCTTTCCCGGACTGCAGCCAGCTCCAAGCCATTTTCAGGATCGGTGGCGGGAAAGCAACTCCCACCATACCAGAACATGCTAGTGACGATGCGAAGACGTTCCTGGGCCAGACCTTTGAGCTGGACCACAACCAGCGGCCAAGTGCGGACGACCTGATGCTCAGTCCTTTCCTCGCCCAGATTACTTAGAATCTTGCTTTTCGTATTTTCCACTTTTTTTTTCCTTCTTTTTTAATTTTGATCCGCATTTCCATGGACTCAACAAGGCAGGCACTATCACAAGAACAAATATCAATAGACGCAAAACGCGGGTGATATGAGAAGGATATTATTACATCATATATGGAGACGGGCATGGGATTCTTTGTTTTTTCTTCTTCTTTTGCTTGTTCTCTTTTTGTCTTACAATTATGAAAAAAACGAGTTATGGGATTGCTCGAAGACAGTGAGAGCTTCTGGGAGGATTGTTTGCAAGTACAGCCTCAGGGGTTGGAGGCAGCCCGCGCCAGGGCTGTGGTGGTAATGGGCAATGCATGGGCGAAGCATTGAGAGGGGGGGGAGGAAGTGATATCATGGGCATTTAAAGAAGTGTATTATATGAAACCTGCATGAATGATGATGATTTGATACCTGAAACGATATTGTGTTGGTGCGTAGTGTGTGTGTGAGAGAGAGTTGTTTGTCATTGTAGGAGTGACGAAGACGATGAATAGGTAATACTGTTATAGGATTCTACAATGGACAAACAGAAAATAACGCAACTAACATGGTATGTCGGAAAAAGAGGTCGGAAATATATCTGTAGAGCAGGGAATAGGATAATATAGGAAAAGAGAACTGGACCGCGGACTACCCTTTTCTCTCTGTCATTGCCTATCCACGACATGGGGAACCGCCGGAGGACTTGCTCTGCTGCCTGGACCAGAGTCGGCTGACCATGTACACACAAGTACCTCCACGTCTCTTGGCTTGTTCTCGTCATCGCCCCCCTCGGTTACCGAAAAGTGTACAAAAGGAGTTTCCAAAAGAGAAAAAAAAAAAAAAATCCTGGTCAGAAAGGGATTATTGAAATTTCTTCTTTTGTCCAGGAATTTCTGTGCTTATTTCTTTTTTTTTTTTTTTTTTCTGTGTGTTTATTAATTTCTGGGTTTGCCTTGTTCGGCGTGGCCGTGCGCACAGCCTTGCATCCCGCGCGATCTTGATCGGCTTGAACGGCCTCCCGTGGGCGTTTTTGGCAGACAGCCTTGCAAGAAGTGGACGATTTGCTCTTTGATATTTTTTTTTTCTTTTAAAAAGGTACGGGGTGGATGGAGTGATGCCTGAGGGGGGTTGATTGTTTTTGCAGCATCATTATCGACGATCAATTACTTTTTATTGGCGGTTCGCGGCCGCGTATTAGTTTGTCACTAAGAGACTAAACGAACAAACTGAGACAGACGGAGTCATCTCCATTACAAACACACGCAGATACTCAGATAAACACAGACACAATCACGGATACAGACGAAATGGATTCGCAGGGGAGCCAGGGCTCGCAGGACAGCACCCTGACCATCACAGACGAGAACAGGAGCGAGATTCTCTACTTTGCCTACGGAAGCAACTTATCGACGGAGCAGATGCGGCAGCGATGTCCCTATTCTACAGCCGTCGGGTTGGGGAAGATTACGGGATGGAGGTGGATCATCAACGCGAGGGGATATGCAAACATTGTGAGGGAGGGAGGATATGAGGACTTTGACATGGAAGGAGAAGAAGTTGACGATGAGAAAATTAAACTACGGGGGGAAAGCAGGACAAAGGATGAAGGCGAAGCAAAAGAGAGCCACGTCTACGGCATGCTCTATCTCCTACCGGTAGAAGACGAGGAGCGCCTAGACCGATACGAGGGCGTCCCGTGGGCCTACGAAAAGCTCCATCTCGAAGCCTCGTGGGTGAGCAACACGGACAGGCTCAATCGGGGCCAGGACGGGGAGCAAGCAGCGGAAGTAGAGGAGGAACTGACACCCGTCAAGGTGCTGGCGTACGTCGACAGGCAGCGCGTGACGGAGGCGAGGCCGAAGGAGGAGTACGTGGGGAGGATGGAGAGGGGGATTGAGGATGCGGTGGAGAATTGGGGGATGAGCGAGGAGTATGCGGATCGGGTGATGAGGCGGTTTTGGGTGGATGGGGGGTAATTTTGGCATGTTTTATTTGCTTTTTGCTTTTTGGTGGTGATGGGAGATGATGGTTTTATGGGATGATGTGGTGGTGAGAGTTGATGATATGTGAGGAATTCGTTGGGTTGCGGATCAAGGGTTGTTTATGCTTAGCATCTCCACTACTTTTACAATATATATAAGCTCAGAGTTAAAAAAAAAAAAAGAAAAGAATAGATATCATTGAGAATTGAATCAAATCGTGAGTTCAAGCGATAGCTTTTTTTGGATACGGCACGGCACACGTCCTCTGCCTGAACTTACATAAACGAGTCATCCAGCAAAATCTGCAAGCGTGATATAACTTTTTCTATAAACAAATGGTATCTATATCATCATCCCTTCTGACCTAGGATTCAGCTTCCAGTCATGCGACCAGCTCTCAAAGCGTATCAAATCTCCCCATCATCGCCCTCCATCTGTCAAGACATGCTCGCTCCTCTGAATTTCAATCTCAGGCTGGGAAAGCCTCCACAACCGCCTTCGCCGCAGCCTGGATCTCGGGCGAAATCTCTCCCGCCATGCCCATCATAGTGCGCATCAACGGCGGGCCACTCACGAGCTGGTCCAGAGTAATGGAGCGAGTAAAGGTGTCCATGTAGAGCTCCTTGGCAGCATCTTCGCCTCGCTTGGCTGGGCAGGCAGATTATCACTCGTTAATATCAATGGACAAAACACCTATATAGATTTTCGTATAATGAGAATGAAGGGAATATTGCTCACTGATTTTGATCTGCCCCGCATGCTTAAACTGGTATCCCTCCTGTCGAATGCCGTCTATCTCAGAAAGCATATACTTTGTGCGCTGTGCAAAGTCCCAGACATGATACAGACCCCCGCTAGACGACGAGCGGCTGAAATGGGGGTTTGTCTCGACGGCCTGGATCAGAGCGTCGAGCTTTGCGGCGATGGCGGCGCGGACTTCGGGGGAGGGAACAGGGCCCATTTTCAATGCTTAGCAGTCTTGATGGTTTCGAGATGAGTGAGATTTGAGTGAAGTGAGTGAAAATGTTCAAGTGTTGAGGTGATGAATAGTAAACAAAGGCGATGAAAACAGTGGGGGGAAAGTAACTGGCAATCTTTCCCTTTTTTCTCCTGCCTCTTCTCGCTATTCACTGCAACTGCAAATTATGTCATAACCTGGTTGCGAGTGGGTTGATCAGATCCATTCACAGAGCGCGTCAAAGTGGGCGTCTCAGCACTTGTTAATCAAGGCAGAACCACTTAACGCGTCTCTCCCCACAAGATTCATATTAATGTATCAAGAAAATGTCATCGCTTTTCTATCATGCTTGTCTAAGATATTAATACTTCTAGTGTACATAAAAGTCATTACCGGCGCTCGTGAAAGCGTCCAATTACCCGTTATCCATATATCCATCATGTAGCATCACATGCGCCCCATCTATTAGTACTTCGTTCGTATCCTTCCGCAATCTCACTCTCCAACTCAACATCATCCTCCACCATTATCATCATCGCCATCATCATGAAGTTTGATGAATGGTAAATCTCCAGGCCACCGCCGCCGCAGCCGCAAAACTCACCACCATGGCCGCCAAAATCTCCCTCTCCTGCATCTCATAGTGCGTCGCCAGCCATCGCGCCACGCAGCCAGCCACGACGCCCATCCAGCCAACAAAGAAGCCCGTCTCCCACCAGGCCTGTCTGATGCTGTCCTTCTTCGCCAATTCGCTGCTGTTGCGCATGCTTGTGCCCCAACCATCAGCCGTCAGGGTAAACAGACTCCAGACGTGGACGGCAGGCAGCGGCAGGTGGTAGAAGAACATGCCGGGGACGATCCATTTGAGAGAGGCGCGTTCCAAGCGGTGCGGGTTGCGGAAGAGGTTGTACAAGGCGCTGGCCACGATACGCACAAGCAGATCGGAGATAAAGACAATGATGAGTCGCTCGCCCGTGAAAAAGTACCACATGGTAGCAACAAAGGCGATGATGGGGCCAAACTCGCGCTTGCTCATGCTGTAGAAGAGCAGAGGATGCGTGATGAGGTAGACTTTGGGCTGCAGAAGCGACTCAATATGCGTGGCACGCGCCCACCGGACTTGCTGCTTCAACCAGCGCGCCAGCGTCGTGGGAGTATCAGTGGCGGTAAGGACGTCGGAAGCGAACACGACACCCCAGCCGCGCTTCAGGAGGTTAGTGGTGAGGTGGCGGTCCTCGTTGATGATCATGCGCTTCCCCATCAGCGTCTGGAGATACCAGGGGATCAGGATGGCGGGCATCGCGGCGAGGCGGAATACGGTGCTGGGGCCGCTCTGGCAGTCGCTCGTGGCGGTGAAGGCAGGCATCGAACGGGTCAGATACAGCTCGCCCCAGTAGACGGTGGCAGCGAGGTTCGTCACAGTCGTCTCGTATCCGTTGTGGACGACGAGGCCGGAGCTGGCGCCGCCAATGGTAGGGTCGTAGGCAATGGCATCAACCGTCTTGTGGATGGAGCCGGGGAACACGAGCGTGTCCGAATCGGACGACCACAGGAACTCAATGCCAAGAACATCGGCGATGACGAGGGCAAAGATGAACGTGGTGAACATGATGCCCTTCTTGTGCATGTGGCGTTGGCGGAGGCATATGTGACGCACGCTGGTGAGGTCGACCTTTTCTTGCTCGAGGATGGTTCGTGCAAGCTGGAAGCAGTGCCGAATGGCAATCTCATAACACTCGCTCATGTTGACGGACTGGCCGTTTTGCTTGCAGATGGAAACATGCTTGGTGATGAACTGCTCTGCCACCTCACCAAGAGGCTGGGGAACATGAATAACCTTTGACTGGCTGGGATATACCTAGCGGGTTCACTCGTGTTAGTCGACTTTGATGTTAAAAGTGTGAAACTATGATGACTTACATTGTTGAAGACGTCGACCATGTCCTGGTCAGGCACGTCATCTCCGTCAATGCCAACAAGGATAAACTTGCAGTGCATGGCATTCTTGTAACTCTCCAACGCCCTGGTAAACAAAGCGGGATCCTCGCGCCATCCCACCACCGCAGCCATGCAATCCAACCTCGACTGCGGCACAATCTGCGACTCAGAAAAGCCTACTTTCTTTTCATCAAAAAAACCATCATCAGACTTCTCATCCACAGGAGCCATCATCGGCTCCGGAGCTTCTTCATAAAACTGAAGCCTTCGGCCTTCATTGACAAGTCGGTTCAGCTCAGTGAGCAGGATAGTCAAGATGAGATCTAGAGTGACAGGGTAACGACAGTGGATGGCAAGGGTCCAGTAAGCAGGAGTAAAGAGCAAACAGCCTGCAATGTTGAGTAGCATGCGAAGCCATGAAGTCTGGCGGCCCTTTGTGACGATTTGGGGGACCGAAACATCCCGGAATGAGTCCATCATGGTTGGTCCGTAGCGAGCGAGTGGCTCAGGGTTTAGCAACCTCTGAGAAGAAAAAGCGTAACGAACAAGAAACGAGTGGCTGCAGATTCAAGACCTGCACTTGTTTAGACTGCCTCGGCAGGAACAGGAAAGAAAAAAAAGAAAGTCTCAGGAAACGGTGCAAGATAAGGGAAAAAAGGGGGAGCTAGGGACTGTCAAAACCTGAGCTAAGCGTCCGTCAACTACCTTAGCTATTATGGATACTCGTCTGACTTGTGATGCCGAGATGTCTGCCAAGTTTCCAGGCAGCAAGAGGCGGAGTCCCAGGAGGGTTGCTGCAAATGACTCTTTCAGGAATGTAACACGACATGAGAATTATTCTCGTATGCCATGATTAGTCGAACATAATGTTTGCTGAGCCGCCACTTCGAGAGAATAGGAAAAAACGTGCTTATGTTGTTGCTTATAGTAGGCCCGAGACTGTTCCTGGCTGCGCCCAGCTTCTCGATCTGGAGGACTATGCTCTTCTTTTTTTCTCTTCTCTCAACAGCCTTGTCAACACCCCAGTCTTTTTTCGCCTTCTTTTTCATTTTTTTTTTCTTCTCCGGCAATCTTCCATTAGCCTTTTACTGTAGTTCCTCGGGGGGCTTCATCCCGCTTCTCCGTATAATTTTACGAGTAGCGCGCATTGGGCTTTTCTTGGCGGATGTCGGGCTAAAGCTGTCTCGGCTTAGACACGACGGGGGGGCGCAGCAAGGGTTAATTTGGACGAAAACCAAGGCCAAAGAGAAATCTGCCGGCAATTGGCCTGCTGTACGAATGGGATCCAGATCCTTGTTCTCTTATTCTCACTTTTGAGCTTTTTCCAATATTGCGAATCCTTGCACTTTGTCTTTTTGTATAGGGGAGACTTAACCCCCTTGCGGAAAGCTCAAGTTGATGGTTGAGCAAAACACATTGTTCCTACAGAACACAATGCGGAATAAGTACCCATGAGTTTGAAATTTCTTTCGACCTGGACGCTTTTTTTTTATTCAGGCAAGTTGTCCGTGCTTGTTTCACAAGCTGTTGTTGGCGGGGCGAAGTTGGAAGCAGAATCTGTGCTCAAGCTATCAAGGCAATTGCTCAGCTTTAGGAGGGCGATTCACCGATGCAGTTAGCCTAAATTCGTGAGAGAATCCACACACTGAATAGGCCGAAATGAGGATAGTAGGTAGTTACTGTTTGAGGGCATCGCCGATAGAGGAAATGCCGAGACAGCTGAGAACAACAGAGTCCAAAAATACAACCAACAAATGAGCGGGGGCAGCTAGCCACCGTGGATCCTGATCCTCTTAAGCAGTCAAAGCATTAGCTTCGTCGACTCAATATTAACTTGTCCAACTTTTGTAATGTTTTCCTCATCTCATCAGCAAGCATAGCACCCTTTTCTAAGATGGGAAAGACGCTGTGTTTCCCGGCTTAGACGGGGAGCTGGAAGCTGTAAGTACTGTGACATGAAGTTTCGTGATGCAAACACTCGTATGTTGTAAATATAATCGAAAGTACTATCCTTAACGGCGTTTCGTAAAGTAAACCAACGTGCAACGTTATATACACAACTTCCTTAAAAGACTAGGACAGCATGTCAGCATTCAACTCTTCCTGCCTGTATAAGTCGACTTATATCCACGATGACATATAAACAATACCAAAGATTAGAAATAAAAAAACAAAAGACATATACATTTTGTGATCATACCTCTATTCCAAGTCAACAGGGTTACTCGTGTGTATGACTTGTTCGTACAAAGTAGCACAAGTGATAATTTCGCAGCTGGTGCGCTTGGATAGGTTGCGTGATCCACGTCGAATCCTTTCGGGGCGAGCTAACATGAGCGATTCCCGATTCCGGTCCACTTATTAGTCGTCATATGCGTTAACTCCCGCCTCTGCCACAACGCCAGATACGAGCGTGTAACCATCAAGTGCGCTTTAATCTCCGATCCCGCCACTCGTTCCTTTCTACCCTCCTGTATAGGTAGTCGAATAGTGAGGCAGTGTAGCTTCATAACTAAACAAAAATGCGCAAACCGATACACAAACAGCTGAGGCAAGGAAGAGAAGAAAACAGCAACATGAACGATTCCGACAAAGCCGCTTTATCCATGGAACAGGGACCAAATTTCTTACACCGGCGCCATTTTTCAGTTTAGCGGCACTCCAACCAGGGGCTGAGTGGTCTTGGCCCGGCTGTTTCCTGTTTTGGCAATCTGCTTCTGGGGCCATCCAGGGGCTGTCCATGAGGCATACCAGGCATTGATTTTTTCCGCAAGTGTCGTACTACTGCTCGTACTTCGTACAAGCGTCTTTCAACTTGGGGCGACGGGAGTCATGCAAGCCAAAGGGGGCTTCTCTCTTTCGTGTCTGTGCAGGAACAGGTGCAGGAACAAGTCACGCTGCCTGAATCTGACTCAACCCGGCAGCATTCTCTCTTGGCTCGCCTGGATGTACTCGTATGGATCAAGACCCTTTTGCGTGCATGTGGAATCGCCGGACGAGTAGCACTACTTATACGGAGTATGTGCGCTGATAGTGCCAAAATATAGTTGGCGATCCGGTTCGGCGTGAAATCCCGGCACGAGATCGACGCCAGCTTAAGCCCTTCTTTTCTTCTTCCTTTTCCTTCTCTCTCCCCCCTTTCCACAACTTCCGAGCCAATCTCTCACTTCGGGTTTGCGGTTGCGAGTTGGTGATTGACCAGACGCGTTGCCGCCGTTGCATCGCTTCACGATGTTGGTAACATACAAAAATAACCGGCTGATACCGGCGCTCATCATTGCCACGTGCTTTATTCTTTTCTACTGCCTTGTTGACCCCTCACTGGAGAACTATGGGTACAACCCAGTGGTCAAGCAAAAAGGCATTGTCGTGGAGGAAGTGGAGCTGTCTGGTAGCCAACGGAAGCCGGTCGAGGTAGACACAGGCTCGACGGCGGAAACGGCCAAGGCGCCTGCCAACGAGGTGCAATATGTTGCGCCAACCAACAGCCAGAAGACAACAGACAAGGAGAAGGAGCCTAGCAAGGCCATATCATACAATGGTCTCTCAACGGATGACGTTCTCCTCATCGTCAAGACTGGCGGCACCACCATTTGGAAGCGGATGTTGGTTCATCTCACCACGTCGCTCTCCCACGACCGCATTCCCCTGGACAACACCGTCATCTACTCCGATGTGCCGGAGCGGATTGGCCCCTTCAACGTCATCGACGTGCTAGTCAACATGTCTTCCACTGCAAAGGCCCAGCCCGACTTTGACGTGTACCGGCAGCAGCCCGAGTACATGGCCAACAACTACTATGTCGAGGCCGCGGGAGTCAATGGTGATGAATGGGGCCCCGTGGGAGGCTGGATCATTGACAAGTACAAGTTCATTCCGCTGATCCAGCATGCCGGCGACAACTGGCCCAAAGCCAAGTGGTACATTTATATGGAAGACGACGCATACCTCTTCCTGCCCGGCGTCCTGGGCTACCTCGCCAAGTTCGACTGGACACAGCCGCACTACCTGGGTAGCTATGCGGCCAAGTCAGACGTCATATTTGCCCACGGCGGTGCTGGCTTTGCGCTGTCCAGGGGAGCGTGGGAGCAGTCGTTTGGGAAGCAAGGCAACGGGAACGGAAGCCTGACAGAGGAATACTATCAGTATACGGCCGACCACTGCTGCGGCGACCAAGTACTCGCCCACGCACTGCGCAAGCACGACGTCAAGTTTGGCGAGAACGGCGGCGACGGCAAGTTCACATTTGGCTTCAACCCCGTGGTGCACTGGGCCTTTGCTTTTGCCAGTGCCAACTGGTGCAAGCCGCTGCTGTCTTGGCACAAGGTGCACAACCGAGACATTGCCCGCTACTATGAGCTGGAGCAGAGCTGGGACTGGAGCAAGCCGCTGCTGCACCGCGACTTCTTCAACGCCATGATCCTTCCCAACATCAAGGAGCACGCCGAGTGGTGGGACAACTACTCGGGCGTCTTCGAGGTCTCGTCCGGCAACAGAGAGTGGGCTCCCAAGCCAGGCGCAGAGAATGGCCACTACGACAAGGAGCTGTGGGCAAATGCCTGGGAGTCCGTTGAGGCGTGCGAAGCGGCGTGTCAGGGTTGGTCAATGTGCATGCAGTGGAACTATGTCGAGGACCTGTGCAAGATGGACGACAAGATATACATGGGCCAGGGCTATGCGCCGGGCATGTCGCAGAGGAAGACGGCCCTGAAGCACACAAGCGGCTGGATGTACAAGAGACTGGAAGATTGGAAGTGCTGAGAGGATGATATGGCGGTTGTTAGACTTGATACAAGGAGTTGGTGATGGGTTTCTTACCCGTGGTTGTTGAAAATATTTCACTGGGAGCCCGTCTCTATAATGAGCTGCTGAGATGATGGGCATCTCTTGGGCTGGTTTAATGACAGGCGTTGGTGAGCCTTGCAAGGCAAGGAATATCTGGGAAACTTGCTCTTTTGTATCATCAGATGGGATCTGTTTGTAAAATATCCGGTTGTTAATGAAGCTACTAATTTTATGTGTGCGTCGCCAATGCCTTATCTTATCTCGTTGGCCGCTTCTGATTCTAATGTCCTAATGAAGGAGCGACGAGATTTGCCTGGTACGAGGTAGTTAGGTACCTGACTCCTTAAAGAAGTAAGTGGTGAAAGGAAGGTACTGTCTTGACCAAAAGGACGAACGAGCAAGTGTTGCCTGAGGCAACTGGATGCCGATATTTAACTTATCTAGACACGATCTCAAGAGCGAGATACTGATTCTTCACACACTCATCAGTCATATTTGCCCATCATCTTCTATTCAACAGACTCCAACAGAGGCATATCCAATTCTTCCCAAACATGGCAGAGGAGCAGCCGAAGGAGCTGGAGAGCGCACCAAGGCCTCGCGAAATTATCCGCCTTCTCCAATGTCCCATATGCTACAAGCTTATTACTGAGCCAGTCATACTACCATGCGGTTATCAATGCTGCCGGTTGTGTCAATCTCCTCAGCTGTGCCCGTTTTGCAGGCAAATCCATACATCCAGCTCCCAAATTGACAAAACACTCTGGATGGTCAAGACCTGCTTCGAACAAGAGATGGACCGCTTGCGAGCGGCATCGTCTCGCGTCAGCATGTGCGCAGAGGTTGGAGTTCAGGATACAATTATCCACAAATCATATTGGCATGGCAAGCTCTTAGCGATGTGGGATCTTGCCAAAGACGGCAGCTTGAGACTGGACAACGATATCATCTACATCGAGCGTTCCCCAACCCCGGACGACTAGAGCTCTCTCGAAGGACAGGCATTGAAATCTGCTCAAGTGGCCGCAGAGAACCACTTGATGTGTCGGTTGTGCAAAGGGTTGTTACAAAATCCTTGCGTGGCAGCTTGCGGCAGCGCGTTCTGCCGCGGATGTCTTTTTCTCGCCATCAGGACGTCGACGCCATGCCCTTATTGTACCAAGTTGTTATCTGAGATGTCGCCCAGCCATCAAACACTCGCAGCTATTTTAAGGACTTTATATAACGATCAGCAGGTAGATCACTTGCGTCGACAGCTTGTATCATTTAACCGAGAATGGAAGAACCTCCCGATCGTGCTGTGGAGAGAAATGATTGCACCCAACACAGCTATGCAGCTAGAGGGTTTCATGAAGGGAACGACAGGCCACTTGAAAACGGTGCAAAAAGCGGTGCAACGAGCAATGCAACAAAATCGGATCCTTGGTATACTGCTCATCATGGACACGGAGAACACCAGGGTTTCTCATATCGGGACGCTCGCACACATACGCAGCGCAGAATGGCATGGAGGGGACTACTGTGTGGTGGTGGATGGCATGTCACGTTTTACATACGGCAATCTCAATCTTGCCGACGGCCTCGTCACTACCCCTACGAAGCCATATGTAGACGTGGACCTTGAAGAGTCCATGTCCCCCTTATCAGTCAACCAAGTGCCGCCGCCTGGTGACATTACGACTCTTCTGTGCCCACAAACCTTTGAAGATTTGGATTGCATGTCAATTCAAGACCACCTGAGAGTTTCCCACTGGTTCGTGTCGGAGATGATGTCGCATCCTGAGTAGCTCAAAGGGAGGAGTCATCTTTATCTGTTAGGCCCTTGCCCAATAGAAGAGGCTGATTTGGCATGGTGGCTGGCCATGATTCTTCCGTTTAGCCCGCAAGACTGGACTAAACTGCTTTTCACACGCAAATATCGTGACAGGCTCCGGTTATGCTGTTGGTGGATCATTTGTAACCAAGCTAAACTTTGGAATAAAAAGAACAAGTATTTTGGACAGAAGAGGGGGCCAAAACGAAATTAGCACAATTCAATTATTATTATTTTAAGTTTATTCATTCAGATTCTAGGTTCGGGCGTTTATGATGCCTGTCCAAGTTGGTTATAGTATTCCGTGTCGCGAAGTTAACAGTGAAGAGCAGCCATAAGAAATTAGTGGCCATAGTAACAGATGCTCAGGGATCCGTGTATCTAATCAAGATAGGCCGCATTGAATAATAGGCATTTCTTCAGCCCTTTGATACAACACTCGACCCAGTTACTGGGGTGCTGAAGAGCGCCTCTCTTGAAAGGGAACGGGAACCAAGGTGGCGATAGTGGCTGAGATGCTGGCTAATAATTCCCCCTGTTTTCACCCAGAATGAAGCGTCGCAAGGTCAGATTGGATGAAGTAACTCGATACCACCAGGACTGTTTCACTTTGCTTTGCTTTCAGCAGAATGGATGGTTACAGTACATACAGATACTGTCGGGCATTCACCCAAGTAGTTGCGTCGAACAAAGGGAGAAGAAAGAGGTTGGCTATCTCGTTGGCTACGGAGGCGTAAAACCAAGTGATGGATGATGGGGCATTAACCTATAGCTCAATGAATTTACTTGGGTTTCAAAATTGCCTTCAACTCTCGAAAGAAGAACTGAAAAGAAATGATTTAAATTGTCCTGTGAATATGTAGTGTGAGTCGAATTCTAGCCTTTGCGGGTTTACGATTTACTTTTGTTTGGGAGATGCCATGATTGCTTGCTTTGGAGGAGGAATAGGTATATATAGATGGATCCTGTTGCCAGTTGAACGAGAATATGCTCTCTTTATCATCCACGAAACACGCACTCATTCGACCAAGAGACCCATATCTATATCCCCTTCTTGCCTGTTTCCTACCATTGGTTTGTATTATGCCTCCACAGCCTCTCTATGGAGGGGGGCTCCGAATTCGACCCTATCAGCATCGGCCTCCGAAAGATGGCAATTCGTTGTTTGCCAAGCTGCCACCAGAGGTATGTGATTGCTGTTAATTTGCTCTTTCAACTGTACATCATATGTTGCGTGGAAAGGGAATAGGACTAACTTATCTCACCCCTATTTGTCAAGATCCGCTGCAAGATATGGCATCTCCTCTTAGTAAGACCCAGTGGTCCGGTTATGCCGGTACACATTCCCAGAGACACTGCGACAGAAACATTCTTTTCCGTGGAAATGTCTCCAAATGTGACATTTGATCTTGATGCCATCATGCAGACTTGCCGGCTATTTTATCAAGACCAAGAAGATTATCTAATCTTTTACAAGGTCAGTTCACTCTAACACTTGGTCCAAGACTTTTTTTATATGCTCATATTTTTCCATATAGTACAACGTGTTCCAGTTCCCTAGAACTCGTGATTGCCTCACTTATGTCGCCGCCATCACGCCGTCTCGTCGCAAAGCCATCCGCAACCTCACCATCGCATCGGATCCCATGCCCTATTATCCCGAGAGCGTCGCAAACCGCGAGCCTGGAGATCGTCTACGCGCCATTGCCATGCTTTGTCCAAATCTGCGCGTTCTCAGACATGAGAAATTCTTTTACCGCGCAGAGAATTTGACCGACTTGGCCGGTATGCTGTCTGGGTTCCTAGAGCCCATTGTTTCCATTTTGCCATTGTTAAAGGAGGTTTACGTCCGTGGCGCCAATGGAGGATATATGCAGATGGAATGCCATATGACTTTGAAGAGCATAAAATTCGCCTGGAAAACGTCAACGGTTCAAGATCCGCATAACTGGTCAACGAGGCGTACAAGATTCAGCGAACGAGGCGAGAACATGCTAACGGCGGTTTGGGATATATTATGTCAAAGAAGGGAAGAGTTTTGCAGGCCACTCCGCTCTAGCCGTCTGAATGATGCTATTGCATCTACACCCATTCTCACTCTTGGAGAAGATCGCTGGCAGCAAGGAGATGCCATCAACGTGCCACAAAGTCCTGTGCCTAGCCTAAGAGTCGGGGCAGCATTAACAGTAGCGCCCGATTTCATAATCAATGGTTTGGGGACTGTGAAAAGTATTTACTTCCCCAGGTTAGGCGGGAGCCCTGAATTATATATTGGAAGCCAATTCTACACTTGGGATGCCATTTTTCATTCCAACCGTATGTCAGAAACTCACAGCAAAGGATACCTATGGAGTGTTGTGAACTTGTTCACAAGAAAGTACATCCCATGGGTGTATTTTTCGCGAACTAGCAAAGGGAGACGCCACGGGAATCGGAGTCGTCAAAGTTTCCTGATTAACTGCATATGGCGGCTTGAGTGGCGAGACAGGGCTGCGAAACTGGATGTGTTGAAGGAATTATACCGTCGTTGGGACAAGAGACCTCGACGGCGGCGACAGCGGTGATACCAACCTTTTATATTATCTCTTATCTGGTAGCTAAATGGTTGGTTAGTAGACGAATAGACGATGTGAAGATTCTAGCCTTTCCCTAGTGAGAACAAATAACCCATCTTCACCTTTCGCCTTGTTAATCTTCAGACCCGGCCTTGAAGAATCTGCCCATTTCACAACCTTGAGAATAGCCCTACACATTTTGAGACTTTGAGATCTCCATGGTAACTACCCTTGCCTCACCAGTCCACCGCTCCTCCTGTATCTGCTGCCATTGATGGATCCCCCCACGCGGGCACCGCAGGCGGAGGCTGATATGATGACCACTTCGGATCCACGAACGCCGCTTGCCCATTGTCATCCGAACACCAGCTTCCCGGCATCTTGGACTGTTCCTGTTCACCCGATACACCTGTCACAGCGGCTGCGGGGATGACATTGTTATCTATCATGGAGGTGTTTGGTTCATTCCCTCCTGCTGGGGAATTCGACTGGCCTTGATCTTGATTTTGTCCTTGCCCCCAGCTACCGTTGTTGCCGTTATTATCGTTCGTCTGCTGGTTATCGTTTGCATTCCCATCGCCCCAGGTACCACCGCCATTGTTCGCGTTATCAGAAGCCCCCCAGCCTCCCTGATTATTCTGATCATTCCCAGCTCCAGTTCCCCATTGATCAGCTCCTGTGTCGTTGTTATTGTTGCCCCATTGATCATTATTATTGTTCGTCGTGCCCCATGTATCGCCACCATTGCCACCAGAACCCCATTGATCGCCGCCTCCCTGGTTGTTATTGTTGTTTGCGTCGCCGCCATCGCCCCATGCACCTCCATGATTGCTGCTGTTTGCCCATGCTCCGACGCTCCTTCGCGAATTGGTATCCCAGTTGGGGCCTGTATCTCTGTTCCCATTTTTGGAACAGTTGGAATGACCAGAGTGAGATGGCGGTTTACCGTTGGAAACAGAGCGGTTACTGCCCATGTTACTGAAAGGAGACTGTCTTTTCGTATAATATGGGTTTGGCTTCATGGCGTTAGCATCAGTTTGATGAATACAACCGGAGGAGTCTTCTGAGCTTCCACATACCTTTGTCGCCTCCGGCATGACGTTATTGTCTGGTTCTCGTGATTTATTATTTCCTTTTTTCTCAGGCGTGTCGCCTATACCATTGCACATACTGAATGCGCCTTTCGTTCCCTGCTTGTTCAGTTGCTGATCGTACCAAGCTGCAGACATTGGATGCAGTCCCGGGTAGTTGTACGGCGGATAGCCAGGAGGCGGCACCATGGCATTCCAACCTGGCATCGGCATGCCTTGGGTAATCGGTACATGCTCATATCCATGTGGCGGGAGATGCTGTTGGGGTGGCGGCATAGGCATTACGTTGTTGTAGCCATGATAATATGGATTTTGCACCGCATGTGAACTGCTGAAAGAATGCCGGGGGGCAGCAGTATTCTCGCGAGCAGCAAACATCTGCTGCCCATTTTGTCCATACACAGACCCGTGATATACGCGAACGACACCATGTAAAGCATCGTAGTATGCATTTGGAGGAGGGTCATCTTGGGTTTCGACCACGCGCTCCGTTTGCATGACTTCTGCGCGGATAGGAGCAATGAGATTCGGGGGGCGAGAGTTCGTGTAATGATAACCTCCTGAGCAATGCAGCTTCAGGTCCATGTCCTTCGCCTTGGGAGTTGGTGTAGTATCGTCAACTTCCTTTTCCTTTCCTTTCCCTGTTGGTGTTTGTTCAGACTTGGATTGCTCTGCTTTCTTCGCTTCGTCTGCTTTTTCAGGTTCATTTTCAGGCTCCTTTTCTTCGTCGGACTTCTTTTTTTCTTCGCCTTTTGGACTGCTCGCTTTCTTTTCAGTTTTTTCAGCCTTTTTACTATTTTTGTTCTTCTTCTTCTTGTCGGGAGACTTCTTCACTGCCGCTTCAGATTCGCCTTCAGTTTCCTTTGCTGATTCCGAAGTTTCCCCTCCGGTACTGGAGACCTCGGCCTTCCTTTTCTCTTTTCTCTTTTCATTTGCTTTCTTTGATGGTGTGGGTTGCTCTTCAGCTTCAGACTCTGCTTCAGAAGCTGATGTCTCAGGCTCTGATTCGGACTCTGTTTCTTTCTTCTTTTTGGTTGCTCCCTTCTTGTCATTCTTTTTGCATTTCCTCTTCTCGCAGGTAGGCCCTTGCTTCTGCTTCTTTCTTCCCGAAGCGCATTCTTTGCATTCACATGTTGGGTGAGGTTCGGAATCGGGATCGCTGTCCGAACTTTGGACTGGCTTCACTATCTTCTTGCTCTTGGGGGACCTTGTCTTTGACGTCTTGGCTGAAGCAGACGAACTTTCGGAAGATGTCTCTCCCGCAGATGAAGTTTCAGCAGCAGAGCTCGCATTCGAGGAACTAGCCTCGGGAGTTGCCTCTCCGGACGAGGCAGAGGTAGAAGTGACATCTGCAGTAGACTCTGATTGTGTCTCCTCCTCCTCGCAGAATGTAACTGATGTCTTCTTCTTCATGGCAGATTTCTTCGGGGTTGGCCCTTTCTCGAACCGAACCTTTTTTACAACTTCCACCGGCTCTGGCTCTGTCTCAGATTCAGGCTCAGGCTGGGGATCGGGTGTTTTAGACACTGCGGCCGGTGTCTCTTTGTTCTCTCTTAGCCTCTCAGGCCGAGGGTAAGTAACTGTGAGTGTGTCTTCTCCAGATTCATCATCCGTTGTTACGTGGAGTTTTATGACGTCTCGTCTCTTTGACTTGGGTTTTGGCGGTTTTGGAGGAGGACCGAGAGCGGATTGGATAGTTGTTCCCACCATCCACTCGCAAAGGAGGGAGGGGCCCGCCTTCTTGGGCATGATGGTGACAATAGTAGCAGCAATTATTATTTCAGAATAACTGTAAATGAGATTTCATTGATGCCCGTGTAGATGAGGGGAAAGTGAGGCAAAATATTAGCATGAGCTGCGAAATCGTTGAAGATTGGAAGCGCAACTAGGTAGTAGAACAATAGCTTGAATAGACCCGAATGAAGATGAAGAGAAAATGATAACAGGAAAGGAACAGATACCTAATGCAGTACCCGATGAAGTTCGTCCATTTAGTGATGTGTGAAAAAAAAAAAAAAAGAGGGAGGAGGGGAGAGAGAGGGCTGAGATGAAAAGAAGAAGAGAGAGAGGTAGGCTGCTAGCCAAATGTGCGAGCTGCCAAACTTCCAAAATCTCATGTCAGCTGGTTTCATCTGACCGCCCACCCATTATCAGCCACTGCCTACCCAAGCAGAAATAACGCTTCCATCATTTTCATGCCCAGCTTTTTTAATTGTATTCTGTTGTTCATTATTCATACCCATTTAGCTACCAAGTGATCAGGTGCTGGCCTCCCTCTCCTGGATCTCTCTCCACTGCCTCTCAACTCTGATATTCTGCCAAAACCTCCATGTTGCCAGTACCACTGCCAGTGGCGGGCATCCCAGCATCAGCCATGACCACCACTCTGGATTCGCTGCCTTGAGCTTCCGTATCTCCTCGTCCAACTTGGCCTTGAGCTCGTCCTTGGATCCGTCGTTCCATAGCACCACTCCCCTTCCCTCGCCCCCATAGAGGCATCTCTTTGCCTTTAGCCGCACATCCATCTGGCTCTTGACTCTGTTCTCGGCGTCTTCTCTGCTGAGATCTTGGTTTCTATCCATCAGTCTCTTGAGCTGCGTCTCTGGCTCCGTCACGGCAACCACCATTGTCGTGCCACAGAACTTATCCAGCCGGCTTTCAAACAGAAGCGGGACATCCAACACCACTGCCCAGTAGCCTTTGAGATAGCATGCCGTCACCATTTTGACCATCCCTAGCCGCACAGCAGGGTGAACGATTCCGGAGAGCACCGCCCTGTTTTTCTGCATCTGGGGCTCATCGCCAAAGACGAGGCGCCCTAGGACAGCCCTGTTCAATGGACGTCCCTTGCCATTAGGCCCATTCTCTGGCATACTATCGGAAGCTGGGAGAAGCAGGTCTGGGGCCATGGGGCCAAAGTGCCTGACGATGGCACGATAGCCTCTTGTGCCGGGCTCGACAACCTCTCGAGCCAGGACATCGGCGTCAACTATAGGCAACGAGTGCGGCGGTGATGAGAGCAATGAAGCAACCGTTGATTTGCCGGTCGCAATGGACCCGGTAAGCCCGATGATGAGCATCTTGCAGTTTCTGTTCTGAGTTTGCGGATTACTATGAATTGAATTGAAGTGATTGCGTTGCGGGATGAGCTTGTTATTGCTGGCACGGTGACTAAGCCAAATAACCTCGGCGTGGAGAACTGCATGAGCTTGTGTTGGACGAAATACAGGGGGTCCACATCGCTACTAATATATGAAGCTACCAAAGCTGCAGCCTACAGAGGTACAAACAGAATGCCCACCTGGGGCATACAAATTACCTAGGTACCTGTATCTTCCACCACAGGATTTGCTTATGGCGCCAGATCCTATTCGACACCGAGTCGGAAAATTTCAACTAGCAATCAGATGCTATTTCTGCTGATTCCAGAATTTTGCGGATATTTGTCTACCATCGTCAATCGATTGAATCGAATCAAACCCTTGCATGAGATAATACGGCGTCACTAGCGTTTTCAGCGTCTAGGTGGAGACTCTTCTGAAGCTCCATCTCTGCCTGTTATTTCACGTTATTTCACAGCTCAGAGACCAGCGGCGCGAGGGCACGTGCCGCATGCGGCCGCATTAGGAAATTTCCTTCTAGCTACAACTGTGAGACAAGGGAAAACCAAGTTTTGCCTGCGGCAGCGCCGTGACGGAGAAAAAAAATTGCCTGACTCAATGATTCCTTCTCCTCATCTTCCCTTCCTCCAAAGAAGAGTTCAGTAGCGTGTCTGAAGAATCCTCGAATTGCCAATTTGCAACGTCGCATAACCGCCATCTCCATCTCCATCTCCATCTTTCATCGAGGCGCCGTCATCGCGCGGCATCATCGTCATTGACTTGAGCTCGGAAAGCTGCAGCAGAGGCCAGTCTGTTAGCCTCCGCAGCCATGGCCCCTCCAACGCAGACTTTCAACCTTGATGTCGAGGCAATCTCAGGCATTTGCGGGTAGGTTCTGTCTATCGTAATTGTCGATGCCATCGCTGACTCTTGTCCTTTCACCAGATCCATATCCATTGCCTGTTGGGGTCAGTGACGTCGTCGTTGTACAAGGGTGGTTGTGAGAGCACCCAGCTAACTCCTCTCCAGTCGTCGTGTTCTCTCCGCAAATCATACAAAACTTCCAACGTAGCAGCGCCGATGCCCTATCGATTCAATTCATCATTGCTTGGCTCCTGGGAGATGTCTTCAACATCCTCGGTGCCGTTTTGCAAGGAGTTCTCCCCACCATGGTATGCTGCCCGTTGCTCGCGTGACCTCGACAGGGAGCTGACACTTCTGCTTCTAGATCATCCTGGCGATATACTACACCATTGCCGACCTCGTGCTGCTCCTCCAGCTGTTTTACTATCGCGGATTTACGTGGCGCGACGAGCCGATTCCATCCCCGCCCAAGACAAATGGCAACGCTTCCTCTACATCGGCATCCGCCTCTGCTCCTGTGGATGAATATACTGCCCTTATTGCCAGAGGAGACCACCACCATCATCACCGAGATCACCACGGCCGGCGTGGTTCGGATTGGTCTGGCTTCTCACCAGCAGTGCCGCATCTTCTCGAACCACCAACCACTCCGCAACCACCGCCGACTGCCTTTCAAACTATTGTTTGGAACTCAGTTGTGATCATCATGGTATGCGCAGCTGGCATTGCTGGGTGGTTCTTGGGTGAAAAGGCCTCTGGTGATAAGGAATCTCCCTCCGACGGCGGTGATAACTCTCTCGAGTTCAACACTTTGGGTCAGGTATTCGGATATATTTGCGCGGCTCTCTACATTGCTTCTCGATTGCCACAGCTCATCCTCAACTGGAGACGCAAGACAACTGAGGGTCTTAGCATGCTCTTCTTCTTGTTTGCCTGTCTCGGAAACGCAACCTATGTTCTGTCCATCATTGTGTACGAGCCGCACTGTGGCGAAGAGGCGTGCGAACCAGCTGAAGCCAGACGACTCTACGGCAGATATATCCTGGTCAATCTCAGCTGGTTGGCTGGCAGCGCCATCACTCTTTTGATGGATTTTGGCGTTTTCGCACAGTACTTTATGTACCGCGTGGAAGACGAAACCGACGAAGAATCCCGTCCCGAAGATGATACCAGCGCCATTGACGAGTCTTGGGATAACAGACCACTGCTTGACCGAGACTGAGATGATCATTGATATCTGATATGACATCTCTTCTCTCTTTTTTTCTCCCCTTGTGCTTCTTCTCCTCCCTTTTTTTCCCGGTCACTTGTGCTCAGCATCTTTGGAGTAATCTTTTGTTTCCCTTTTCTAAGCTTATCTTATCGCATCTTGTTTCTTTATTCCTAGTTATTCCTTTTTTTTCCTTAATTTCTTTTTTTTTTTTAGAAAATTATTTAGGTCCGGTGCAGATTGATGAGCAGGGAAACACTTGGTAAAAAACTTGGGCCGTGGCAACACGGTGATCATATGGTTCAACAGGACAACAAAATGGGCGGATATTTGTGCAATTCAGGATGGCTGCATATTTTTTTTTCCAATTTTATAGTTTTTAAAAACTCACGACTACAATCATAACGAATAAAAATAATTGTTTAATGTGAACTGCAATGATCTTTCAGCCACGCCACAAAATTGCTGCCCTCTCTCTTCCTATACACTTTGAATTTTTTGACAGGGCTCGGCCAGGGATTGTCGGCAAATTGAATTTCCGCTCCTCAAGAGCTCAATTTGATGGTGTGCTAAACCGAATACGGGCTAGCGCATGGTTCCACTCTCGAGCAAGAATAAAACTCGAACTTCGCTGCCAGACTTTGGGATTTTCTTCTTTTCTTTTTTTCATCATCAGTTGGGTTATTCCTACACCGTCAAGTGTTTTAATAATTCAAACGGCGGCTCCGCTATGCGGCTTGCTGAGGGTTAACCTGATTCTCTGTGGGTTTCCTTCCGTTCCCGGCCTCCAAAATTGAATGTGATACACTTTCCTATCAGCCGCGAGTCGACGCCTCTAGAGGGCTGTGACTGTGGGTGTCTCTCGACATATCTTTGCCTTTATAGTCAATTTTTGCTTGATTTAGTGCAGGCTAAAAGGCCAAGGGTAGAACTGCTCGTAGAATTTGAAAATATCTTCTTGGCTCTGATGTCAAGAGGATGTAGAACCTCTGGCTCTGTTTCGTGATCTGCTGTACCGTATATGTTGAGAAATTTTTCAGCAGTACGAGCAACGGAGACTACACAGCACGAACAGCGGGTGTTTTGATCGTTGAGGCGTAAAGCTACTCTAGGCCATTTGAATTTAAACTCGAATGAATACTTCGGCTATTTGTTGATATCCCTTGAACCACATCGTACAACGCCTTGACTAGCCGAAAGCTGAGCGTTAAAAGCGCCTCAATACCAAAATTTGCCATTCTTCTTCAAGCTTCTGCGCATCAAATATTTGCACCACGTGACCCGCTTTCTCCGAATTCGAAGACCCGCGCACGGACCACTTTGCGCTTCTTCCCGAAATTTTTTGAAAGTCGGAGGCGCCAACAGGATCTTCCGGCTGCGACAGGTTTCTGTGGCATCAGTTCACTCTGTCATCGACACTCGCAGCGCTTGTTCTCGCCCTCCTGTGCTCACAATCAGACGCCCAACATGTCTTCTCTATGGAATGCGTTTACCGGAGGCAACAAGCCCGCCCAGCAGCAGCAGCAGCAACACCAGACCTTCTCCGATGCTGCCCCTCCTACCACCAACCTCTATGACCCGACCCAGGGTGCGGGCGTCGAGTCTTTTCTGCAGAGCTCGGCCTTTGCGGATCCTTCACAATTGCACCCGCTGGCTGGACTGAACAGGGACACTCTGGAATACCTCACACTCGAAGACTCAACGCTGTCCGACCTGCCGGGCGGCCAATCCGTCCTGCCGTCTCGAGGATTCACCGATGACCTCTGCTACGGTACCGGTATCACATACCTGACGGCGCTGTCTATAGGAGGTGCATGGGGTTTCCAGGAGGGTCTGCGGAAATCAACCGGTCAGCCCCCCAAGCTGCGACTCAATGCCGTGCTCAACGCCATGACGAGGCGGGGTCCATTCTTGGGCAACAATGCGGGAGTTGTCGCCATCACATACAACTGCATCAACTCGCTGATTGGCTACCTGCGCGGCGAGCACGACGCTTTCAACACAGTTGCTGCTGGTGCGCTCAGCGGTATGGTCTTCAAGAGCACCAAGGGTGTTCGGCCAATGATGATTTCTGGCGGTCTGGTGGCCTCCGCAGCCGGCGCTTGGGCGGTAAGTCGACCATGCATGATAACTGCATGAAGAAGATGACAAGGCTAATGTAGCATGCTGGACAGATTGTACGACGATCCTTCTTCTCCGTCCCCGAGCCCCATGCCGAGCACGCCACCTTGTAATAATATAGCAAACACAAACAACCTATAACGAATACCATATAAAGAAGAAGACTCTTCTGACGACACACGAACCACTACTTAATCTACCACATACGGGTGGCCCAAAAAATGGCTTTTAAGATGAAAAAAAAAAGACACTGAGCTGGAGGAGGCATGGGAATTATTAAAACAGAAAATTCAGGGAGCGCCTCCTCCGGGCCAGTGCCAGATGTGTCGTGGGAGTTTGGACTGAAAGAAAAAAAAAACACATCTGTATGGTGGTGATAGATGATCTCTCCTCCCCAAAGTGAACTGTACATTATATCGGGTAACCGGTCAGCGAAGCATTTAGACCTTATAGGCTCGGGGGCGTCTGGTCATGAATTTCAAAGTTTGGATTCAAAACGAGTGTGTCTGGACAGATGTGTATGATGGTGGAATTTGAACAAATTTATGGCAAGAAATTGTGCTTATTTGCAGCTGAGTGATGTGCAGTGTTTGTGCTGGAGAGTGGATTTAACGGAAAAGTGATAAGGGAATTCAACTTTTGGAAATCGAGCCGCCTAAGAGGATCTTTATAGAGTGGTCACCGGCCGAGGAATGGCATGAATGAGTCGATATGTAGGCTTCACAGCTTGGAATTGTTGACTATTAACCTATTGTTACTGGTGCGAATAATGGACAAGCAGCGAAATTGCCTTTGAGATAAATGCTAGGTAGATAGTCAAACACTGTTGCATCATCGCCCTCTTCACTCCATCTCGCTCCTTAATCCTCACCCTATACAACAACTACTACAAAACGCCCCGAATATTACACCTCCTTTCTTCTGCTCTCAGGATTTCAACCTCATACTTCGGTATATCGTTTGCGCGCCTACTCAAATAACGACATGTGTCTGCCTTGTTTCCCCTGGACGTGGACAGAATATGAAGACCCGTTGGATTCGATGCCAGAGCAACATGTGTGGGTGCATGACGGGCAGGCGTGGTCTCTGCAACGATATGTGAGTGTAATTTCCTGCTATCTTCTTGCTTCTATTTCATCTTTATGTCTATTATTTGTTATTGAAAATTGTTTTGTTTCGATATGTTTCGTTTCTCGATTGAGGAACTGGTGATGGCCCCCCTTTCTGCCATCTATCTCATATGGCTGCAGCTCTTCCTAGGATCAAGAGAGCGTGAACAATGAATTGGACGCAGCTGTGGGAGTTCTTTTGGATGTGGATCGAATAAACAGAAGACGGGCAGCTGTCTTCAGATGATGAAAGTGAATTGGCCAGTAACCGCAGCTCAGCTCTGTCTTCTTTCACTCTCTGCCCACTTCGCTTCCGCAGCAACAAACGCACCTCTCTTCCTCTTCCTCCCTTTTCCTCTTTTCCTCTCCTCCAATCCATCCTCGCTGAGATTGCTGTGCATCCCCTGAAAATGCCCGAAATTGCACCGGATCTCAAGTCTCCCAAGACCCCCCGACGGATGAAGACTGGAGGCGAGCCCCTTCGTCAGGTGCACTTCCAGAGTCCAGGCACCACCAAAACCACAACTTCCACCTCTGCTTCTCCTCCCTTCTCTTCCACCTCAACCACTTCCACCACTCCGACTTCGGCTGCAACCACCGAAACCACCAGCAACCAGCCCGAGAGCTTCCCTCAGCTCGGCGCACCGCCTCTCAGCACTCTGGGAGCTGGCCAGTGGCACACGGCCGTCGATCCGACTCAGAGCGTCAAGTTGCCCGGCCAGCCGTTTGCAGGTTTTGCACCTGGCCAACATCAACCCGCTCACTTTCTGCGCCCTCAGCTCTTCAACGGCCCGTTTCCTCCTGCGCAGCCTCAGCTTCCTACCCCAATCACCTATATCGGACACCCGCAGCCCGTGAACATCGCCATGGCCGACTACCAAAACGCAGCCCCGATGCATGTTGGCATCAACTTCCAGCCTCCCGTGCCCGATACCACGTTTGGCCCGATTCCGCACGTCTATGTGCCTCGCTTTGACGGGAGCTACGTGCCTGCTGCTCTTCAAGTCGGTCTCCCCCCGGTACAGTTTGTTTCCGCCCCTGCTGCGTGCTCCGTCGTGATGCCAAAGACATTCTACCACAACGGCTACACTTACTATGCAAGTTGACCCGCAGCACTTCTCCCTCGGCCGGTGCTTTTCTTCTTGTTCTTCTTTCGTATATGCTCGCCGATATGGTGCCGTGTGGCCCGTTTGCTTTCCATTTCGGCTGCCTCCATGGGCTGGCTCAGGGCTTCTCTTCTCTACTTACCCTCTGATATTTTACACAAAGCTTTTTTCTTTCATCTCATGTCTTCTTCGCTTCGTTTGCTTTCATCCCTCACCATCACCCACTAACATGTCGTCTCTAGCAACCGACTGTTGCCGGCGTTCCAGTCACACACCCAAGCTACGTTGTTGCTCAGCAGCCTGCCATCGTCCCACAGCCCTTCGTCGGCCAACAGCCTGTCATGATTGGCGGGCAACCAGCTCCGGCTGCGATCCCCGTTCAACAATTGCACGCTGTTCCCGCGATGGGCGTGCCTGGCGTCGGCGGCGTGCCCGTCATAGCAGGTAATGGTGGCCAAATCCCCGATGTGTCTGGTCTTGGGAGAACCCCTGCAGAGGAAACCGTGCGGCAGCTTCAGTTTGCGCACGCGAACAAGCTGTTCGAGCCTCAGGAGTTCAAGCCATCGGACGATGACCCATCTCGTTTCTACTATGTTCGCGAAGTTGACGGTAATTGGACCCAGCGCAACCGATTTACTATTGACCACCTAGGTGACTGTCGATGGTACGTCACCGACGAGGGTTGGTTCTACGCCGTGCGGATGCCCAACTAGAAGAAACGAGTGAGACGAATAAAATTTGCCCTCAGAAGAATGATGAAAAAGGAGAGTTGTAAGTACTCGTCTGAGTAATATGGGGTTGACCAAACAATTAAGACTGGAACAGGCACATTGTAACCCGTTTGCTTGCCGCTCCCGCAGTCGCTACGTCTCAACGTAGGTTAGCAAAATCCATATTAAGAAATACTCTCGAAATAGGGCAATTCATACTGATCTTCTACTAGGATATCGCTCGGGATATGTTTGAAACTCGCCTATATCTGGTCATTCAGGTATATTTGTTCTGAATTGTCACCAGTTGATTGTGGAAGCTAACGCTTCAAGCAGCTCAAGCCGGTTTATGGAGGAAGGTGTAGTTTAGTAAATGGCACCTGGCTAGAAACATGGGCAGTTTTGAACCTTGATAGTTTCTTCTGGCACCTAGGCCACTCACGAAAACGACTTGCTCTGGTTGGTGCTCGTTAGCAACACTACACATACCAAGTTCATCTCAGTCTTATGCACACGTGTCTTGTCTGCCAAGTGTTTTGAGTGAATCTTATTGAGATATTAACAAACAAGGACTAGATGATGCGTGCGGGTTCACACCAATCTGGCCATAGCCCACATCAGTCGTCTCGATCCCACTTCATGCTTGCACCACTGCTAACGAGTCAAAAGATGAACCGATCGATCGAATGCCCACCGAGACTTTGGATAAAAGAGGCAAGGGTCTCCCGCCCACCACACCTCACAGGCCCATGTTCCTGGCATCGAACCCTAAAGCTGCACTCCGAGACCGAGACTGCGGCATCGTGCGGCAAACCTGTCCAATGGCGATGCATCCTTTTGCCGCAACTATGCAATTTGGAGCCGTTCTCCCTTCCCCAGATCCTAGCCTGCAGTGGCGTTGCAGATGTCAGCCTACAGAAAGACCAAGAGCACCACCGTCTACTCCATGATACCCCAGCTTTTTGGGTATGAAGAAGCGCTCAAACACTCCGAATCCCGAAGCTACGCCATCTCCAGACGAGGGTTTCGCTTTGCTTCGTGATGAGTAATGGCGGCACTGCTGGAACCCCTCACTCTGGCAGATTCCATATATGTATATTAATCAGCCCGGATGGAACAGCAAAAGCTCGACAGAAAAGACGGCAAAAACCGACGCTTATCTGGACGCTAGAGAGCGGAATATACGCACGATAGCCGGATACCAAGGGAATGAGCTAAGCTAAGGGAAAACGTCATTATAAATCGCATACTACGAGAGGTGTATAAGCAAATTCACCACAGTTGCTCTCCATAATTTTTTTCTCGGGGCCATTCAAACAGCTTTCTCGTTCTTCTTCTTTTCCCTAATCAAACAGTAAGAAAATCCGTCCTGCCGGTTACCCAGGCCACGTTACCAAATGTCACAAGTCTTCAAGCCCGGCCCGCCCTCGCTGGCCAACGACGACTCCATGCTTTCGCGCAGATTCGGCAAGGAGACATTCAACTACTACGGCGGCGGGCTGTTGAACCGCTTCTCTTTCCTGCGCAACGACATCAAATTCATCCGGCAGGCGGCAACAGCACCCACAACAAAGTTCGTAGCACTGCGCGACCTCAACCCGCTGATTGAAGATGCGCGACGACTGGCCTTTTTCGGACTCAACGATGTGAAGCCACTGATTGGGGCGGATCCGTTTGGGCGGTCCGACGAGGAGAAGAAGACCGCTTTCGACTCTACGAAGCTGAGCCCGACGCTGCTGTTCCTGGGCTTGTTGCCGGATACACCGCAAGGGGTGGATTTCGAGACGACCAAGCACGGGGTGGTCAATGGACAGCCGTACTTTGCGCTGGATGTGTCGCCTCAGGGGAGCTTTGCGGAGGCTGCCGATGAGTTTGTAAAGGCAGCCGAGGCTAAGGGATATTCAGTGCAGACGAATGTGCGGACCATGACACTGGATCCTGAAGGAGGTAAGTTGGAGAGACGTTTTTAAACCTGTTGGATCTCATTATCATGCCTCATTCTTACTCTCACTCTCACCCCTCATCCCCCCACTTCCCTCTTATGAGAGATAGTCCTAACAACTCATCTTGTGAAACAGCCGCCGTCCTCGCACAGGCCCGCTCGCTCATCGACTGGAACGTCCGCAACCGCTTCTGCGCCGGCTGCGGCAGCCTCAACCTCTCCGTCGAGTCCGGCTACAAGCGAGTCTGCCCGCCCACAGACTTCGCTGGCGGCTCCGAGCCCACGGCCCGCGCCGACTGTCCCACGCGCCACGGTATCTCCAACGTGTGCTTCCCTCGTACCGATCCCACCATGATTGTTGCCGTCGTCTCTAGCGACGGCAAGCGCATGCTGCTCGGTCGTCAGAGCCGCTGGCCGCCAAAGTGGCACAGCACTCTGGCTGGTTTCATCGAGCCCGGCGAATCCATTGAGGATTCCGTGCGCCGTGAGGTTTGGGAGGAGGCTGGTGTTCGAGTTGGCCGCGTTACCATCCAGTCCAGCCAGCCCTGGCCGTATCCATCGAGTCTGATGATTGGTGCCATTGCGCAGGCACTGCCCGATGGCGAGGACATTGCCCTGCTGGACAAGGAGCTGGAGAGCGCCAGTTGGTTCACGTTTGAAGAGGTCCGGGAGGCGCTTAAGAATGGCACCAGTGCGCTGGGCGATCCTGCGCCTGAGGGATACTCGGGCCCGTTGTTTGTGCCGCCTTCACAGGCTATTGCTCACCAGCTGATGCTGGCCGTGGTGGATGGATACTTGGATCCGGCTCCGAAGATGTAGGTCGACATATTTTTGTAGAGTACGAGTTTTACAGCGAGCAGGCAAGAGGGAAAATAAATAGAATAAACATGTAGCATGACTGTACAAGATTAATGAGTCAATAGTCAGTCACGTTGAGGACGGATGTGGAAGCGCAGACAAGTTGTACATTCATTCTTATGATATCCTCTCCATTTCCGGAAACACCACTCCCTCCAACAACGGAGCGGGAGTCCATTCGACGAGCCCACGCTCATATCTCACAGCCCAGACGGCATCAGCATTGATGACCTCCAAAGCATCCCTTACTTCCCGGTTCTTCTCCATGTCATCTGCTAGGAGCTCCAGAATCTCATCAAACATCTCATCCTCTACTCGCACGTACGAAACGATGGCAGTGAGAAGCCTCACCACTGCCTCCCATATCCTCACCGGCGAAGCATGTTGACCGAGTCCTCCGCCCAGCGCCTGCTGCGCTCCCCCGAGAGCCCTTGTGGTAACCTGAAAGCCATCGGCAGACCGTATAGGAATCACGATTTCTTTTCCCGACTGGCTCTTTGAAGAAACATTCGGGCGCCCCTTGTCCCTGGACGCATGCTGCTTGGCTTTGCGACACCATTCGCCGAGCCCGTCCCACCACTCTGTCTTCCAGCGGGTGCTGAGGAAATCGCCCGCCGCTTTGCACAGTCCGGAGAGTGTTTCGCAGGCTTCGACGACGACAAAAGTCTCTGGGTCGTGGAGCCTTGCGATGACGACTGGCCAGATGGCATTGACAAGGGGCAGAAACGAGTCCTCGTCTGCGGCGAGGACAGATGATGCCGCAGCGACGAGTTCCAGCAGAGACCTTCTGAGCGTCGGAGTTGGCGACGTCAGGTAGTGCTGCGTGAGGGTTGCCACGCGCTGAACGAGCTGGTACGTAGGCGAGTTTGGCGGTTTTTCTTCCTCTCTGGGGGGTTCTTCTTGGTCTTGCTGACCCTGTCCTTGAGCCAAGTCGCTTGTCCACGGAACCCCAGGGTGTCCGCCCTTGACCCCTATGTTTTCCATCTCGGCTTTATCACGCTCTTCCCTCTGTTTCCGTCTATCAAGGATTTCCAGAAGCATATCTAAATTCTCCATCGCTTGCGTTTGTTTCTTGTGGTTGGTGGATGACCGCTCAGCGTCAGTCAGGAGTCGACCATCCGCCTGAGTTGCCTGGTCTACAATCTCCTTCAAAACGGAGAAGAGGCTTTCCACGAACGATGTGTACCCGTGATAATTTTCCAGAGCGGCAAACATTGACTCGACGACATCATCCAAGAACGGCACCAGGCGAGGCCCCGCCAACCGCACCATCATTCGCAAGACCTGCGTGGATGCCGGGGAGATGTCAAGCGTGTTAAGCCGCAGCGAGACCGAGTTAACCATGTAGTCGACGTTGTCGATGATCAACTCGGAGACGTTTGAATACTGGCATGATAGTGCTATGCTGTTTAGCGTGGCAATGGCATGTTGCTGTAGGTTACCATTCTCCGATCCCAGGAACGTGGCAACGGGGAAGAGGACATCAATGAGCTCTGGTCGAAACTTCTCTCCTGATCTATGCGCAGCATAAGCCATTATTTCAAGAGCAATAGCTTCCAAACGCCAGTCAACCTGCGCCATCTCGGTGTGTGAGTCTAGTACTTGAACAGAAAAGTCGTATAGCTCGTCAAAGACTTGGTTTATGTCTTCTGATTGCTCAGTAAACGCCGACAGATCGAACAGCGCGTCCGTATCTTCAGAGCCGGCATGAGAGGCCTTGATTAGCTCAAAACACAGCCAATAGGCAGTCAACTGGTTGAGCGATGTAGATTCTCGAACACAGTCTAGCATGTTGGCGGCAATTTTCGTATTCTGCGAAATGGAGCCAACAGTTCGTAAAAGACTCATTATCTCGCCCTTCAATCTTCTTTGTCCTTCGTGACCTAATAAAACTGGCTGAAATTGCGATTCGCTAGTTGCGGTTGAGGCAGAAGACCCATCATCAAGCAGCAGTACACGGCTGTTGGCATTGGGTTGTTGTGTTTTTGACGCACTGACAACTGCCATTATGCTTTCTCTCAGAGTACTGCTGATTGAATCATCGAGCGTCGACGATTCGATTCTCAGACTCCGCAACAGTTCGATTCCCTTGGTCAAATTGTAGACTGCCTGCTCCTTTACCTTCTCGTCACTTGCCTGCACAAGGCGGGGAAGGCTTGACATCCAGTTGTAGACTGTTGATTTGATGCATTCGCCCAGCTCGGGATATATATTGACCAAGTACCTCAGGCTCGTTTCCGTCATGGAGTCATGATCTGACTCTTGGTCAAGAATCACTGATGTCTCGACAAGGATGGTTGTGCAGTTTGACAAAGTAGTGTGGCATTCGTCCAACAAAGTTACGCATAGTCGCCCCAGAGCCTCACGGACTTCAGCCGCCTCATGGGTCCGTAGCCTCATCATCACCGACAAGGCCACCTGGACTTGGGCCACAGTAGCCTTTAGCCACGCTGGGCTGAGAACTTTGGATTTGTCGGCATCGGTCTGGCTTTCGGTTTCTTTGGCGATGATAGACCGTGTCCGCATGTCAGACAGCACCCGTGTCAGGACCACTCGCACGGTTCCTAGACATTTTGCTATTACCAACTTCTTATATCGAGATGGTTTCGATAACACCGTTGCAAGTGATGAAATTGTTCCCGGGAGAAAACTGGCCAGCGCAGCATGCTCCTTAATAGCTCCGTAGACTGCTTCCAACGTCCTCAGTGCCTCACGCTGAATCTCTGCGTTTGCTCCCTCCGAAACACCATCAAGCATAACTGTAATTCCATGTCCCAGTGCTGGCAAAGACTCAGGTTCAGATAGCCCCGCCGCCGCCGCGACGGATGAGCCTGCGGTGGTGAGTAGCGCAGTTTCGGCCCGGAATGCCTCGAGCACCGTCTCTTCGGGGATGTCTCTCCTGGGGGATCCCGGAACGCCATCTATGATGAATATGAGGAAGCTGAATATCTGTTGTACTAGTTTTGCAGATATTCTAGTCTTCCATCCGTGAACGATTAGGATATTTAGGCATTTGACGCAATCCTCCACCACATTCATGGGATATTGCTCCAGCTGACGAAAGATGTTTTGTAGCGGGAAAAAGACATATTCCGCTAGCTTCTCATCAAGAGCCAGTGGACTCTTGGAGATTTGCTCGTTCAAGATGGCGAGAATCTGTTTAACAAGTTCCAGCACTTCTCGGTGCGTATTTGGGTCTCCCTGCTCCCGGATCGCCAGCTGGCTCACTTTAATGCAGCATGGCTTCAGCTAGATGGTGTTAGACGACTATGACCGTCTTGGAGAATACATATATAACGACTCACTTTTTGAAACAACTCGTTTCGTTCTTTGGCGGCTGGAGTTATTTCCATGGCCCACTAAATCACAAAGCTTTTCGAAGATCTACCTGCACATGATCTCTTGTCCCTTCTGATTCGCACAGCTACGGACGTTGGTGAGATGGATTATAGGAGAACCTCGGGTCGCAAATGTAAAGATTTTGGTGCGGCTGATTGCGGCTTCGGCTCCCACTTACCAAGAGCTGCTCTCAAGAGGAGGGCAGGAAGAAGTTGGTGATGCTATTCATGTGAATATGACTGGCCAGCCAAGCTTAATGGACAGTTTGAGCTATTTTGCGCACTGTATTTATCAGCCTAATGGGCGTCGGTCGAACCATTGACCATCTCGATTAGCGACTGCCGGGCGGAGAATTTTTGGCTAGCCGCAGCCACTAATAGGATGCTGGCACTGTGCAACTCCCTCTATCGCCAGCCTAGAATGCTACTCTCAGATATCCGATGCTGATCGGCTGTATTAAATAAGCGTCTCTATGTAATTGCGTTGCATTGCCCCTCATTATAAAACGTGTCCATCTGCATCAATAGGCGTTGAAGCTTGATCCATAGCATACCAGTGGTGCATTTAGTTTCAATCCACAACAACTTCAGACTTCAATTGAGACTGTCATGGCTTCTTCAGGTCCTTTTCCTCTCTTGGCTCACCCGTACCGGTCTGCCGCTCAAGGCTCCTGTGCCTACGAGATGGGTAACACAGCCTCCAAGAACGCCCTTGTCTTCATTGGAGGTATGAAGGATGGCCCTCATACGACGCCGTACATTCGAACTGTTGCTCAGCGGCTGGAAAAGACGCCCGAGTTGAGCTTCTCCGTGTTTGAAACTCGACTGAGGAGCTCCTTTGACGGATTCGGAACCTCTAGCCTGGCAGACGATGTTCGTGACATCTCTACGTTTGTCAAGTATCTTCGCTCCATTGGCCGGGAAAAGGTTATTCTATTTGGTCATTCAACGGGGTGTCAGGTATTCCCTCTTTTCTCCTCTACCGCCTGGATCTGGGTGGATATCGATATGCTGACGTTTTTATAGGACTGTATGGAATACACAAACTATGCCAAGCATTCCAACAGCCCCGTGGATGGCTTCATTCTGCAAGCTCCCGTTTCGGACAGAGAGTCGCTGGAGACCTTCCTTCCGGATTACCAATCCAAGCTCGACTATGCCAACAAGATGATTGCTGAGGGAAAGGGAGCCGACTGTCTGCCCAATGAGCATTCGATTGCCATGCTGAACGCACCGATGTCAGCAAACAGGTTCCACGACCTCTTTGCCAAAGGGTAAGTTGGCCACTCTGCGAAACCTCGCCAGGCAACACAGACACGTTGGTTAATCTTATCAGGGGTGCCGATGATTATTTTTCTTCCGACCTGGATGACCAGACAGTAAACAAGTTTTGGAGCCGGTTCAGCAAGCCTGTGCTTGTGCTACACTCGGAGGAGGACGAGTTTGTTCCGGCCAGAGTTGATCAGGCGGCGCTGAATAAGAGATATCAAGCGGCAAGCTCATTCGTCAGCCCATTGTCCGGCCTCATACCGGGAACCGGTCACACTGTCTGGCACGAGGAGGCTCAAGAATGGCTGGCAGGGAGAGTTATTGAGTTTCTCCAGACTCTTACCTAAGCCCGCTGAGCTCAAGAAATAGAGTTGTGTCTCTGTGATGCCTGGCGGTGGCGTAGGCTACTAAGACACATACATACGTATACCTCCACAGCTGTGCTTTGTAATAGCACTTCTACTGAGCCACCCACCGCATTAGCACACATCCGTCAAACCTTGTGACAGCTGACATGTTTCTCATTTCCATTTACAGCACACAGCTTATTCGAGTAGTTAGGATACGGGGCGCAGTATTACAACAACACCAGGCGCTCCAGGGTAGGCCCCGCAGCCCATATCCGGCGGTCGGACATATGGCATCACCGTAAACCGGAGGGATTACTTATTGGCAACTTCTTCCTGCGAAGCTCCGGATTTAATAGCCGGACTAGCTCTCCTGACTCCATCACCATGTGCTCCGTATGGGGAATCAGCAGCATCCCATTCGCCAGCTGCCACTTGGGGGCCAGCGGAGAATAGCGGCCCCTTTGGCGGTTCCTGCTGGGCTGACAAAGCATCGCGTTTCTGTGCCACAGGTATCCACGAGTTCGGCGCAAGGTACCAGCTATTCCGTACATTTGTACTCCGTACCCACATCAAATCCAATCCATCGTTTCCGTCACTCTTCGGTCGCTCGGGCTGCCTATTTTTTTTCCGTCGTCTCTTGCTGAGCAATCACCGCTGTCTTCTTCATCCCATCGCCTGCTGCGAGTCGGGAGACTTCCAATCGCTGCAGCATCTCGGGTCTCGCATTGGCTGTTTTGCCCCAAAAAGCCCTTGCGTCACTGACCGATAATTCCCAACCGCAGCTCCGACTTTCATCGCTGCGATCCGAGCTTCGATTCGACCGACCGACCGACGAGCATGCGGTAACGACCTGATCCTCTAGTTTGAAAGAGTTGGATCGCAATAATGGATCCGTACGACGAGCAAAAGGTGCTGCTGCACACCGGCTCGTTCACCGGCTACCGGCCCTTGCAAGAGCTGGGAAGCCACTATCTCGCCGCGTCCGCCTCTTGTAAGCGCTTCTGTGGCAATGAAGAGGGCTGGGGCCCGCTGAGTCCGTTCCGGTTCGACTTCACGCCGTGCTTCGTCGATGTGTGGATTGCCTCTGTTTCCGTCTATGGCATCGTCCTTGGCTCGGTTGCCATCTGGTGGCTTCTGAGGAAGAAGCAAGAGCTCACGACAGCCAAGAACGCGCACTTTTGGATTAAACAGGTACGCCGCGCACGTGGGATTTCTATATTGCTTTGTCGTGGAGGGACTTACATGCTAACTGCTGCATAGACCTTGCTGGCTGCCATCATCGCCAATGCTGCCGTTCAGTTTGCATTTCAAATCGTCAACTATGGAAGCACCTGGTACGGTGATTTCCGCGCCTGGACCACTGTTCTTCTCATCCTGTCCTTATTTGTCATCTTCACGATCCAATGGTTGGAGCATTCACGCTTGAGAAATGCCAATGGGGTGGTTCTGTTTTACTGGCTACTTCTGCTCATCTCATTTGCGGTGAAGCAGCGCTCGCTGATTTCCCAGCAGCTCTATGCCAAGAACCTTCCCTACTTTATCACCTACACCGTCGGCGTTGGTCTTAGCGTGGTTGAGTTTTTGGTCGAGTGGCTCTGGCCTCGCTCAACCCCTAGCAGCTATGAAACCATTCTGGAGGAAGAGGAGTGCCCTGAAGAATACGCCACCATCTTCTCCAAGCTCACTTTCGCTTGGATGACGCCAATGATGAAACGCGGGTACAACATTTTCTTGACTGAGAATGACCTCTGGGGCTTGACTCGGGCAGACCAAACCAAGAACACTGGAGAAGCTCTCGAGGATTCGTGGAAACACGAGCTTAAGCGACGCCCTAACTCGCCCTCGCTTTGGCTGGCCTTGTTCCGAGCCTACGGTGGCCCCTACATCACTGCTGCTTTCTTCAAGGTTGGAAACGATGTTGCGCAATATATCCAACCTCAGCTTCTCCGCCTCCTCATTTCATTCGTCCGCTCTCACGAGAAACGATTTGGAGAGGAGCCCCAGCCCGTCATCCAGGGCGCTGCCATTGCGCTCGCCATGTTTGCCTGCGCTTCCTTCCAGACCACCATGATTCACCAGTACTTCCAACTGGCTTTCGTCACTGGAATGCGAATCAAGGGCGGTTTGGCTTCGACAATTTACCGAAAATCGCTGCGACTTTCCAACGAGGGACGATCGTCCAAGACAACCGGTGACATTGTCAACTACATGGCCGTCGACGCCCAGCGTCTTCAAGATCTTACCCAGTTCGCTCAGCAGGCCTGGTCTGCGCCGTTCCAAATTACCATCTGCATGATTTCCCTCTATAACCTTGTTGGATGGTCCATGATGGCCGGTATCGTCGTCATGATCATCATGATGCCCGTGCAAGGCTTTGTCGCTCGTATGATGAGAAACTTGCAGAAGGACCAGATGAAGAACAAGGACGCCAGAAGTCGACTGATCAATGAAATCATCAACAACATGAAGAGCATCAAGCTTTATGCTTGGGGCTCAGCATTCATGGCCAAGTTGAACTTTGTCCGAAACGAGCAAGAACTGAAGAACCTCCGAAGAATTGGCGCCACTCAGGCCGTGGCCAACTTCACCTGGAATACTGCGCCCTTCTTTGTCTCTTGTTCTACCTTTACCGTTTTTGTTCTCACCCAGGATCGCCCTCTGACTACGGAAATTGTTTTCCCTGCCCTGGCCCTCTTTAACCTTTTGACCTTCCCTCTGGCCGTGCTCCCCATGGTCATCACCTCCATTGTTGAGGCCTCGGTTGCCGTTGGTCGTCTGACTTCGTTCCTCACTGCTGAGGAGCTGCAGCCGGATGCTATCACTATTGGCCCAGCTCCTCAGGAGATGGGCGAGGAGACCGTTATCCTCCGAGATGGCACCTTCTCTTGGGACCGACACGAGGATAAGAACGCGCTGACAGATGTCAACTTCACTGCTTACAAGGGAGAATTGTCCTGCATCGTTGGAAGAGTCGGAGCTGGCAAGTCATCCTTCTTGCAAAGTATTCTGGGTGGTCTCTGGAAGGTCAAGGGCTCTGCTGAGGTTCGCGGCACTGTTGCATATGCTTCTCAGCAATGCTGGATCCTCAACGCTACCGTGAAAGAAAACATTGTGTTCGGATATAAATGGGACGCCGACTTCTACGAAAAGACAATCAAGGCTTGTGCTCTCATCGATGACTTCGCTCAGCTTCCCGACGGCGATGAGACCGTCGTTGGTGAGCGAGGTATTTCTCTTAGCGGTGGCCAAAAGGCTCGTGTTTCGCTGGCTCGTGCTGTCTATGCCAGAGCCGACATCTATCTTCTTGACGATGTTTTGTCAGCCGTCGATTCTCACGTTGGCCGACACATTATTGAAAACGTCCTTGGCCCTCGTGGATTGCTCTCCACCAAGACTCGTATCCTCGCCACAAACGCCATTTCTGTCCTGAAGCAAGCTAGTTACATCAGCCTCCTCAAGGATGGAGAAATTGTCGAGAAGGGCACCTATGAGCAGCTTGTCGCTAGAAAGGGACTTGTTGCCGATCTCTTGAGAACCGCAGGGCATGACTCTACAAACCCCTCCAGCAGCAGCTCTTCCGGAGAATCTAGTGAAACCTCCACCGTTATCGAGCCTCTCAGCAGTCAAGACAAGGAAGAGCTGGAAGAAGCACAGGAGCAAGTGCCAGAGATGGCGCCCATCAAGATTGGATCTTCTGTAGCTGACAAGCCAAGATCAAGCAGCATGGCGACTCTGCGACGTGCCAGTACCGCCAGTTTCAAGGGTCCTCGAGGCAAGCTTACAGATGAAGAAGTCGCAAGCTCCTCCAAGACGAAGCAAGCCAAGGAGCACGTTGAGCAGGGCAAAGTCAAGTGGTCAGTATACGCCGAGTATGCCAAGGAGAACAACCTTTATGCTGTGGCCATTTACCTCATTGCGCTGCTCGCTGCTCAGACGGCCAACATTGGTGGTTCCTTCTGGCTGAAGGAATGGGCCGACCAGAACCAGAGCATCGGTGCCAACGACCATATTGGAAAATTCATTGGCATCTATTTCGCTTTTGGTATCGGTTCTTCACTCCTGACTGTGCTTCAAACACTCATCCTGTGGATCTTCTGTTCCATCGAAGCCTCTCGCAAGCTTCACGAGCGTATGGCCAATGCTATTTTCAGGTCTCCCATGTCTTTCTTCGACACCACCCCGGCTGGCCGAATCCTGAACCGATTCTCTAGCGACATTTATCGTGTCGATGAGGTGTTGGCTCGCACGTTCAATATGCTTTTTGTCAACGTTGCCAAGTCAGGCTTCACCCTCGGCATCATCTCCTTGTCCACACCCCCTTTCATCGCTCTCATTCTTCCCATCGCGCTGGCATACTACTGGATTCAGCGCTACTACCTCCGCACATCTCGTGAGCTGAAGCGTCTGGACAGTGTCAGCCGCAGTCCCATCTATGCTCACTTCCAGGAATCGCTTGGAGGCGTCGCCACTATTCGCGCCTACCGTCAACAGGAGAGATTCCAGCTTGAAAACGAGTGGAGAGTCGATGCCAACCTTCGCGCCTATTTCCCTTCCATTAGCGCAAACCGCTGGCTTGCCGTCCGACTTGAGTTTATTGGAGCTCTCGTCATCCTTTCGGCTGCCGGCTTTGTCGTCATGGCCATTGCCAGACACGTTCCTATTAGCTCTGGCATTGTTGGTCTGGCCATGTCCTATGCTCTGCAAATCACGACCTCTCTCAACTGGATTGTCCGCCAAACAGTTGAGGTCGAGACCAACATTGTGTCTGTCGAGCGAGTGCTTGAATACGCGCGACTGCCTAGCGAAGCTCCTGAGATCATTCCCAGCAGGCGACCTCCCGTTGCCTGGCCCGCCAAGGGTGAGGTCGATTTCAAGAACTACAGCACTCGTTACCGCGAGGGCTTAGACCTGGTCTTGAAGAACATCAACCTCGACATCAAGACTCACGAGAAGATTGGTGTCGTTGGCCGAACTGGTGCTGGCAAGTCCTCGCTGACTCTGGCCCTGTTCCGACTGATTGAGCCCGTCACTGGCCAAATCGACATTGACAACCTCAACACCTCTTCAATTGGTCTACTGGATCTTCGACGTCGTCTTGCTATTATTCCACAAGACGCGGCGCTTTTCGAGGGCACCGTTCGAGACAACCTTGACCCGGGCCATGTACACGACGATAGCGAGCTTTGGAGCGTGTTAGGTACGTATTTATCAAATCCCCAACTGCTGTTTACTAGGCAGGGCGCTTCTTGCATGTCAAGATTGAACCGTTTTGCTAACTTGTATGTCAAGATCATGCTCGTCTGAAGGATCACGTAGCCAGCTTGGACGGCGGCCTTGAGGCCAAGATCAACGAAGGAGGTGAGTTTTTAAATACCCTGACCTGGCTACATATTTCCATCCGCTACTTCGTCCCGTTATTTCCCACATTCTTCCAAGGTATTCAAAAAAGCTAACTGAGAAAAACTCCTCCAGGCTCAAACCTCTCTCAAGGTCAACGACAGCTCGTCTCTCTCGCCCGTGCCATGCTCACCCCATCCAACATCCTCGTCCTGGACGAGGCCACAGCAGCCGTGGATATCGAGACCGACGCCATGCTCCAAGCCACGCTGCGCTCCCCGCTATTCTCCAACCGCACCATCATTACCGTCGCGCACAGACTAAACACCATTCTAGACAGCGACCGTGTCGTCGTGCTGGACAAGGGTGAGGTCGTGGAGTTTGATACACCGAGTGAACTGTACAAGAAGCAGGGTATCTTCTTCAATCTTATGAAACAGGCGGGTCTCGAGATTGAATCTTCTTGAATACCTTAAAAAAAGAATGTTTATTTGACTATATTTCATTGGTTCTATTTCCCTATACTTGTTCATTCTACGTTGTTTTTCATTTCTTCTACTATGAGACTGCTGAGAAGGAAGATTATTCGGTAATTATGGTATTATGATGCTCAATGTATGTAAAACGAAGGGATAATAACAAAAAAACAAACAAACAATTTCCATCACGTAAAACCATATATTACCTCACCACCATATTGTCCTTAGCCCATGGCGCGTAACCAACTAAACAAGGGGCCGTCCGCGGAAAAACAGGATGTTGAAAAAGAAAAGAAAAGAAAGTTTTTGTGCAGACGGAGCATGCTCGGTGTGTACGGAGGTGTATGCAAGCAGAACAGAGCTCCTTACGCCCTCTGTACCTGTACATGTGCTGTATGCCTCCACGTATAGTAAACACGCAGCCTGATTTGTGTTGAGGAGAATCGATACATCATATCCGAATCAGGTCCATAGATTTCCCACCCTCCTTGTTCACCACCAAGTGGGAATAACAAGGGTTCAACACATCGGTACTTGGTAGATACCGTCCTACTGTGACCACACCCCGCTTATATCCCTTGTTCTTGGACATTCTTGCTTTATTAAGCCTACTCGGAGTACCGTGCCATTGATGCTACAGTACTTCATACTCCGGGGAGTGTAGCTTATGCGGCCCTGGCATCACAATCAGGTGATTGCCGGGGTTTCGTGTATGCGTGCGTTGTCTCTCCTGTCTGTATCCTACTGCGGACGCAGGATACAGAGAAGGATGAGGAACAAGGCACTTGTTTGGACGGCGTCCTGTGCTACCATGCATTCTCTGGCCTTTGTCAAGCCACCACCACCGTTATGGTGCAGGCTGAGTGGGACTTGACGGGCTGCGGGCAAAAACACGGTGATAGCTAGCAGTGAAGGGTGCCTTGATTGCCTCGTACCTGCAGGGACTTTGAGACTTGATACGAATTCGACGATTGCCTGGAGAGCTACTCCGCGATGTATACCGGCTTGTGGGCGGCGATAAGCTAGTAGGTACGGTACGGTACAGGATGCCGTGCGGGTTGGCGAGCGGTAGAATAGGGAGCAACGGGTTCTCTTAGTCCGTAACACTAATGCCAGGCGGGATTACCTGAAGCCGAACTTGTTCAGCTCGGGTGCGCTCCCCGTGAATAACATTGTGCTACTAGTGAGAATAACAATAAGAAGCAGCAATTATACCACCGACTCACGTCCCTATTGTCTATGCATCGCCTCGCTTGACAGGTTTGTGACGGAGATAGGCTGCTTACCTGGGATCTACATAGGCACGTCCGTACCCCATACGGGCGAGCTATGCTAGTACTCGTACATCCAAGTCTCGTAGCATGAAATGGATGGGTGGTTGGCGAGATGTGGTCCCGCGGATGTACCTGTATATGCACGCTGGTGCATACATATCTGTATCGGCTGTACTCCGTAGAATGATTGCCCTATCTGTGTGAGAAGTGACACATGACGTGGTTGGTAGCATTTCCCCTTTGAGACCATGCTTTTGGGTACCCGTTTAGCCATTGCCGGTTTTCTTGCTCGTCTCGCGTCCTGGCCGAGTTTGATGGGATTCGCCCGAACAGGGGAACGACGAGCAGACGGGCGACAAAATGCGAAGCGGATTGCCATGCTAGCTGCATTAGTTCCTCCTTAACCTTTGGAGCCAGATGCCTGTAGCGTACAGGGTGAGGCTTTGGTGAATTTAATGTCCAACAATAGGTGGCTATTGCTGGGCTAATATCGGCACTTGCACGCTTCTGCAAACGGGTAAAGGGTTGCCGAATGGGTATAATCCTTCCCTGTGCCCCTTGCCACCTTTCGTAGCAAATGCTCCGTATAATACAGGACATGTTACGATATCGAAGCTGGAGCTGGCACGAGCTCTCTCCTGGAGGATGAATTTCGCACGATACAGCCTAAAGAGACAAAAACCACATAGTAGCGGTAAACCATTGCTGCCTCAGACAGAGCCTTGCTGACTGCGAATAACCATTCTCTCCAATTCTGCGCTAGCCCCGGCGAAAACGCCAGATGCGATGCACTATGCGAATAGCTGACTCGGCTTGGCTGATCTGTGTCGTGTTCAGTCCACGTTGGCAAATGCACGAACAGGGCACCGCAAGGACTCCCAGTGTTTTTTTTGGCAAGAATCAAGTAAAAGAAACCACGGCCTGCAGCCAATAGACGCGCCCAGTCAATCAAATCATGCAATGTGGCGCCAAATCTCGTAGCCAAGTCCTTTCATGTACAGAGAGGATTAGAGCTCGGCGAATATGCAGTTGTTGGCCATTAGAAATAGGGCTAGCTACCCTCTTTCCTTGTTGCGTTTCTTGTATCTCTGCAGAACGCCCGCGCTACCCACATCTTGCGGCACTAATATGTAGGTAGAGGCATGTAAGAAGCCCAAAGCGGCGAATGGAAAGACGTTGACAGGAAAAGAGGGATCAAAGGAATGCCTGCACCGACTCGTGAACTTCTAGCGGTGTGAGGCGAAGGACGCCATCTCTCTCCATCATTCTTCAGCGTTCATCTCAGCGACTTCTGGATAGCAGCAGATGTTTGGCGCTGCAGTGAAACAGTGCTGATGCAAGTCAAAGTGTTCCAGCACCGAAACTAGCGCATAATGAATAACACACTTACCAGCCGCGAGCTGGAAGAATAGCACTCCCTAGCTTCCAGACTTGTGAGGTAGGGAGAATATTACTTCTACTAAGCATGTAGTATGGGGAGTGGCGCACTCTGGTTGCCAAAGCGATTGGCCGCCGCGGGCGTCCAGCTCTCGTGGCAACCTCCTATGGGGGGGTTTGCGTCTCTAACTCCGAACCGATCCATTTCATGACGAGATTCAAGGCGACTCTTCGGCACCGATGGCGAACTGAAGCGACTCTTGGCTTCTTGCGATTGCAGTAGTGCTGGCAATAGCCACTGCAGCTACTGCTGAATACGCAGCGCTTGGCCACACTACCATCTTTCGTTGGTCGCCAGGTTGCATGTAAGGAGGTGGACTGGCCAAGCTTCTCCTGCAATTGGCCCAACGAACAGACGGGAAAGCTCACTACCTGCGGGCCGTACTCCTAGTGTGCGGTTAATGTGTTGCTAGTCTTCCATATTTGGTTTTTCGTGCATAATCTGCTTGATTCGTTTAGTCTTGTTCATCCTGCGGAGAAACGATTGGGACTAAGAATAGCTGTGTTTTTTCATCAGCAGATCATGCTTTGGCTCTGGCAGCCCTCAGGTGTCCCTCTGAATGATTAGGTGTGCCATGAGGACCTGCGCCGATTTTGCATCAATCATTGACGCCAAGCAGATGTCACATGTGCGGAGGATACACTCCGTGCCAGCCAATCCTTACATGTTGTTCACTCGTACCGGTACTTCGTAGGAGGTAAGATGATATTGGGCACGCCGCGGATAAGAACGCCACAGTTTCATGGCAAGAGGCTGGAGCCGTAAGTCCGTACTGGGAAATCTTGCTCAGCCAGACAAGGATAAAACAAACTTATCGGCGGATATCACATCCGGAAGGATTTCATCTAAAGCAAGGGCTAACCGTCCAATTGGATCCAAGCCGTGACGAATGCTAAGTGTGTGCTAGTAGAGCTGTCAACATGGGGGCTTCAGGTCAGCGAAGAGACAGAGTTGTGCGTTACCAGACTGTCGGGCTTTGCTGGCACGTAGGAGCTGCCCGGTTGCCAGAATATTGCATACTCAGAACAGACAATGACTTTCTGAACCCCCCTCTCCCCATCCAAGCAATCTGTACCACGACTGGTAGCAGTACATAGACAAAACGCCCTATTAGAGTCGTAGCCGCGCAGACTGACGCTGTATTTTATTAAACGCGTAAAAACCGAAGGTGTTTGCTTTATCAGCTTCGGCACAGCGTAGGGAATTTGTCAATGCATCTCCTCTCCGAAGCAAAGAAACATCAAGTTCAGGTATAGGGATATTCGAATATGAGAGGTGGATAATATGTCAATGCCTTTAGATCGTCCAACTTCCTCCAACTGTAAATTCTAGCCTGTCGTCTACCTGAAGCTGCTACATAATTAGCTCCCGCGGCTACCACGTCTGCTGGTGTTGATGGTAACAGTTTGTGCGGAGTAGAAGGACGGAATATCGCAACCTCATGGCCCATTTTTTTTGCGACAGAAAAGGTTGCACTGGGAAATCAAGAAACAGGTGAAAATAGGCGCTTCACACGTGTGCCTAGTCAAGCGAAGGCGGGAGAACATCGAGCGAGCCTGATGTAAGATTCTAGGACTGCAACAGGATCCCCCCCAAGTCGACAGGAATAGCTTCGTCTGGCGAGCTTTCCGTGCCCCGCGAATGGAACATAATAGAGTACAGCAAATCCTTTAGAATCTACCCCTGGTTGAGTGCCCAATGGTATGCCGACTCTGTAGCACTGCTGCCGCACCTAGGATCGCCGGCTGCCCACGGGATAGATAGGCAGTTTCACTGAGACACTACACTTGGATCGATGGAAAGCATGTATCATAAAATTCTTCAAATTGAGCCCTAACTCCTTGACCAGCAGTGTTTTAACGTGCTGGTGTGAGCACAAAACAGTGCTTCATATTTGGCGGTATTAAGGATCAGCACCAGCGATACACGCCGCCTATCTCCATTCAACGGCGTGCAGCTGGCGAAGTTGAGTTGGTCCGACGGTGGCAGCCCGGAGAGTTTAATTCCACATAGGAAAGCATCTCCGACGCATGGCATCGGAATTCAGCACAGGCACCCCAGGGCCCAGTGTCGACGCATCGACCAATCTCCTGTACTCGTATGAGTGGTTGTTTCCTTGCTGTTGGTCCCGATAGCACCAACCAGCCGTTTTTTTGGCTCCTTTTTCTTTGCTTTTTTTCATTGGGGCTGAAACGCTGACGGCGTTCAAAAGTCCCAGATGCCAGGATTAGCATAAGATGATACACTGCGAAGCGATTGTCCTGGACGAGTCATAT